CCATCAACTGCGTGGCTATCCCACATGCAGACACGTCATGCTCTTCATGCAATCTTAACCAAAGAGATGAAGAAGAGGGGCCGATTGAGAAGAACAGATTCTCTCGGATTCGAAATTAGACCGATAGTGGGCTTACAATACACCAAGCCCAGCCCACTCTTTACTAAAAACACCAACCAGTGTCCGATAAAAATATCTATCCCAGTTTAAGATAGATGCAGCTCGCATTAGGTATATAGTTACTAAATACTCCATTTAATATATGAATATACATATTTTTATATTTATGTTTGTATTATTATCAAATTGTTTATTTTTTCGCCGTTCGTTGATAATTATCATACCAAACACACATAAAGCTATGTAACACGTTTAATATTTTACTTAATGCATTAAATTGATAACTTAAACATTATTTTTATTTTTATTTATTTTTCAAATAATGAATTTTATATATATTTTTTTACGAATATTGACATGCTATTAGACGCACCATCGGCTGGCTTAGTTGCAAGCAATCTGGCATGAGTCGTTGTGCTATGCTCGAAAGTATATGTATTTTGAAGTACAAATTGAACCTGCAATACATAATGTTAAACATACAAATTCAATTTACAATCTCAGTTTGTACCATAACACAAATGTACAAATTAAGGGCATAGCTACTACTCGCTATTGGCTTAAAAGGGGTTCCATATAACCCCTATCATTGATATTTGAACTCAACCCTAAATTCTAGTCGTCGAACCACAGTTAAGTACTATTTTTTTTATAAGGGTTGTGTGTGTAAATTTTACCTTTCGATTTCTATATCAATATTTAATACGTTCTAGTTTGTCAAGACGGATAACAGCTACATACGCATAGGCGGCAATTTTTGGGAGGGAAAAAAATAACCCCACAATATATTTGTACAGGTCGAATTAATCACTTACAAGTAACATAAGGATATTTTAACATTACAACATAACTCATTACTTGTTCATTAATTCACAAAAAAATAATTAAATTACATGACACTATCATTTTACAACAGCTCGTTAGGTATTATCACGATATAATGGTATAAACAATGAATATATTTTATATTTTTTTCATAATATGAAAACTCGTTGGTTATTTATAAAGTATTATATATATTCTGAATAAAGGACATGGGTAATTTGAAATCCTGGCTCCGCCACTGTACATACGTACCACTAACAACACTAATAGTCTCAAGAAAAGTTGGGTTCCCATTTCCCACTGATATATTGTGAAACTATGTATAGTCTGATGTTACCGGTTGTTAACGCAAATACAATATAACATCTTCCGCATTAAAATGATTGACCAATCTTCGAATTAAAATTGAAAAAATTGTGAATAACCTTATATCTTTGACAATCAAAAATTGTGAATAACCTTATATCTATGAAGTGAAATTTTGTCTATGCCACTAATTATCATCACCTCAAATCTCGTCCTTTTAAACATTTGAAAATACCTATCTTCAGAGCTCTTTGATGTTGGGGTAGAATATCGGGAAAAGGCAATGAACCTTGGCAAGTACATGAATTCTCCAAATACCATGCATCTCAAGAATATAATACTATACTAACCTCCAAAACCACGTCTAATAAATTCCGGCTCCGGGTGGGCGGGAGGGGAAAAGATGGGATTTGGGTCTATTATTGTTTGCTGTCATGATTCTGTGGTACGGAACCGCCGGCTAGCTCAGCAGCTCGTGCTGTTTCTCTGTAAAACCGGCCGGCCGCAATTTGTCTTCGAGCCTGCTGCTGCTGCAGCTGCAAAACAGCTAGAGAAGAGTTTTTTTTTTATCATTGAAAGGATCGACGAATCTTTTTAGTTACTTCGAAACCAAGGCGGCAGCCCTGACTACTGTCGACTTCCCTCCCTTCCCCTGTGGCTCCAATCTTAGTAACGAAGCAATGAATTGTTGCAGAAAGTAAGACGTAGGCGTTGGAAGATCGGACACTGGCAGTTTGAAAATAATATAGAAACAAACAAGGATTAAGGAATTAGGGATGATATAGACAATGGGTGGACTCATTAGATGTTTGGGTAATTCGATCCAATGGTTAGAATTCATGAATATTGTATTTGGCAAAGTTATTCTTTTAATGATTTTAAATTTGGTTCAGTAGAAGTGAGACTAATTTAGGTCAATTCTTTTGTGGCGGACTCAAATGAGTGTATTTGAGCCTAGATGATTGTACAACAAAATGACAATATTATATTGATCAATACCTTCAATATAATTATACTTTTTAAATAACCATGAACATCTACACACATTCCGCTTGAGTGATGCCGGAGCGAGACCAAACCCAAGAGTTCACCTGTTCGAGCCCTTTGAGTCCTCTACTAATTAGATCTCAATTGGTACTATCGGGAAGACCATGAAAGGCCTTGAGGGGGGTCGAAATCAGGACCTCACACATCCATAATGAGCACCCAACGAGGGTACACCAATGGGGCTATGAGACCTTTGACAACCCAATTATACTTTTAATGTTGGTGTTTTCACATTTTTTTTATTGTTTGACAACAAATAAAAGTAAAAATTAGAAAAGTGAATATTCATTATTATTTTCTTTTGGGTATCCAATGATATGAGTACAATTTTGACTCAACTTAAAAAATTTGTATGTGGGTCTACCCAAAAATAAAATTATCCAAATTTTATTTGACTAATAATAAATAGAGTTTGTGAATTACCTAAAAATTAGATCTTTTTGCCAATCCCAGAAGTAGCCTAGAAAAGGAAGTGGAAAACAGGGAGAACAAATAAATACATGAAAATAAGGAAAAAATTGCGTCATATAGCCAGCTGCGCCCCTGGTACGTATGCGCAGAATTGAGACACGGTTAATTAGCTAGTTGTCCAGTTCCCAGCACTGAGGTCTGAGGAATCCGAATCCATAGATTCTAAAGAAATCTAAGCCACAAGTTTTTCTCCTTTGTATAACAAGTATCTGGTCTCAGGTTCAATGCATATGTTCGAACTTGGGTTGTGGGGGGGATTTCTTTTATCAGGCTGCTGCTTTGGACTTGTGCTTCTTCTGCTGAGGCAGAACTCAGAAGCAACCACTAATTAGTAGTGGTGATTTTACAAATTCCTCATAAAGTTCGAATCTCGTATTTCTCCATACATAAAGGATTAGTTTGGGATAACTCCATCTCAACCTAATTTCTTTCGAAAAAATTGAGTTAACTTTCATCTCTAAATAATTCGAGTTTTCTATCTTTAAATAGGTCCATATGTATTTGAGAACGCATAGTTAGTGTAGTTGAGAACGAACCAAGAAAAAAACGGCTTTGGGATGTCAAGTTATCAAAGGCTAGTGAGTTGAAACCGGAATGGAAGTTGATCCACCACGTGATTAATAGGTCCGTGCGTGGGAAAGTATAAGAGCAAGGGTACTCTGACTGCCCGAGACGTTACATTGGTTCGTAGCCTGCATAATTCTCAGACCTTACACCTCGATTTAGCGATTCTATCAACAATGAAGAAATATGAAAAAGATGATCGACTTGATGCGTTACAAGGTGGAGCATATATCAATTGACTCGCTCGTTACTTCGGAGTAGACTTTTGGGAGATTGAATTTTGAATGGACTTAGGACGACTCCTATTTCCTTCAAAACCCTGTAGCCACCACCGTAAACAAATTTATTTGAGGCTAAAGTAGTCTACGATCAACAAATGATGATTATTTATTTTCTTTTCATCTAATTGTTGAGTTGAGCATAATAGAAGTTGCAACCATAATCCCCTCATGAATCCTTCGTTGAAGGTATTTACATGAAGTTGATTGTGGATAGTAAACGTTCATTCTGAATTGTGGAGATAACATAAATTAGCTAAAATACATCATAATTTCCAACAGTTAAATCATAGCTTTGCTCCTGGTAGGCCGCGCTTCATAAATTAAGAGCATGTATATAAAGAAACACAAGAAACAAACTATATAAAGTGAATCAAAACATTCTTATAGCTGGTGTAAGCAAATAGTAAACCAGTATAATGAAATCAAATGCTAAAATAACCAATGATGCATAACAAATGAGTGAAATGTTGCTAAATGTTGGAGAGAGGAACACTATAATCGAGGTCATTAGTCAGCATACCCCAAGAACCCTGAAGGTTAGTACTTAGTTGTATGTGAATTCCTAGTAGATGAACAATGAGCACATCTAGAAGAGAGGTATGATTGCAATCAAATAGTGAAAAGTCACAACCTATAAGATTAATGGCTGAGAACGGTATAATTACATATCGCGCGACAATTCTGCAATTACAGATTTGAATGTGGAAGGAAGTGGCACACCATAAATTTTGGGGATACCTTTGTAAATTGTCACCTAATTTCACATAAAGTTGATAGTCATCGATATACCTACAACAAATAATGACAAAGAATATTTCCAAATTTGCAGAAGTTTGGAACAACACAACACTTGCTCGATCTAGTACATTGTTCTTTTGATCATCACGTTTAGATTATAGTACTAAGAAATGTACATACATATATAGTAACACTACAAGAAAATACACTTTCTGCGACGGAACAAAAGCGTCGCAGAAACCCTAAAATCCGTCGCAAATACTTTATGCAACGGATTTCACCGTCGCAGAAGAGAAAAATCTTCCGTCGCCTATACAGCGTCGCAGAAAGTTCTGCGACGAATAAAAACTGGTTCGTCGCAGAAAAACTAAATTCGTCGCAGAAGTTTGACGATTTAGCGACGACCATGTCGTCGCAGAATGGGTATTCAACGACGAAAATACCTCCGTTGCAGTCAGGAAGGTTATTTGGCGACGAAGTAGTTCGTCGCAGAAAGTTACATGATTTAGAAACGAAAAATTGAATTCGAGTTATTTACAATTTATCTTCTGGGTAATTTCAATATAGGTCACAATTCTTTTCGGGCTATTTCAGTATAGGTCACAATCATTCCCCGGGTTCGTTTTCTTGTTCATTCTTTTGTCAAACCTCAAATCAGCACCTCATCAAACCTAAAAATCAAGATTCCCCCAAATTAAGTGCTTTCAACTCATCCAAAATCCAGATTTGCTAAGTCAGATTTCTTAAACAATTTTAAAAAACAGAGCATATCCCGTTCGGAAGAGCAGATCTGGTCGCCGGAAGAGCAGATCTGGTTTCTTTCATTCGCTTTTCCTGTTCGAAGAGCAGATCTGGTCATCCTTCCCCGACTGGACCCAAATCGTTGCGCCCGGAGCCAAAATCCAGGCCACCTACCGATCTCTTTTCTTCTTGCCTCGTTCGAAACCAAAACCCAGAAGGAAAAATGTCATTATCCATTCTTGAACTAGAAAACGAAAAGAAAAACACATGCAGGCTGAATCTTACCCGGATCTTCACTTTTCTGATCAAGAGGAGCCGATTTACCGCGGCCAAAGCCCAAAACCCTGGCCCCCCGTCGATCTTCCTTCAGCGTAATCGAACTCCGAGGCCACCGGCGATACCCGTTTCTTCCAGATTTCTTTTCTCATCGAGAGGATCATATTTTCCGCCGACGGTTTTAAGGGTTTTGTTGTCTACAAGGGAGAAAAGACGAGAAAGGAAGAAGGTGAAAATTAAAGAATCGAAAGAGAGGAGGAAAAGATGAGTTGTTGTCTACATGGGAGAGAAGACCAGAGGAGGAAAAGATGAGTTGGGCGGCTAGGGTTTTCTACTCACTCCCCTCTCATCCTTTATATACTAAAGGATACTCAATTGACCAAACTACCCTTTCATCATGTCGCAGAACCAAAAAATCATACTCGGGGATTCGAACAGCTAACCTCGAGCTAACATCAACACACAGACAAATGTTTCAACCAATAGACTACTACTAAACCATTTGCTAAATGTAACTTTTCGTTGTTATTTTACCCTTAGTCAAAGCCTAAGATTTCAAAATCAAAACATTCTGTTAAACCTAATTCCAATTATCCTTGTACGTCTAAATCTTTTAAAAACTTAATCATGTAGAGTTTATGGGACCAAAGCTCAAAGGTTATCTTCAATTAATTTACAAACCAAATATTATTCAATAAAGATATTTAAATAAAATGTCAAGATTTATCAATCTATTAAATAAACATATGTTTTTGTTGCCTTTTATAAATTAAACTTTCTTAATACGAAAATCACAATTCAATTGATAGCGATAAGATTTTTTTACTTAGTTATGTGCATAGGTACTCATCCACTAAATATTCTTAATTCTCAAAATGGCTCAAACATTCTGCGACGAAAGACGATCGTCGCAAAAAGTCTCGAACATCTGCGACGAAAGACAATCGTCGCAGAAAAGCTCAAAATATTCTGCGACGAATATCGCTTCGTCACAAAAGTCTAAAACATTCTGCGACGAAAATATGCGTCGCAGAAAATATCCAACTATTCCGCGACGACGACAGTCGTCGTAGAAAGTCCCGAAAACCTTTTGCGACGAAACAATTAGTCGTGAAAAAGAAAAGACCGTCGCAAAATCATATACCCCACCTATCACAGAATATTAACACAATCCGCGACGAAAATACAAAATTCGTTGCAAAATGTTCACTTTCTGCGACGAATTTTATGTCGTCGCAATAGAATCCGTCGCAAAAGGAGCATTTTCTTGTAGTGTAAACGTATACTTGATTTCCAAGTATATACTACATCACACTCAAGAATCACAGACACAAAACAGAAATAGAAAACCCCAAAAAAAACACAAATCTTTTCAACGAAGGAAGCATTTTTGTAAAAGAACCTATGGAGAAAACGAGTAAATGGGATTTCAAGATTCCCGATGACACACCCCCAAACCTTGCAAGTTGCATCGCATGCATTGCAGCCAGCCAACCGTCAGCAGAGCACCCTGTGTCGCTTTGCTTCGTGCACAGGGCAAACAAAAAACAATAAATTACAACACCCGAAATATATATAATATCATTAAACTCAAACATATAAAGCGAGAAGAGCATCGCATGCAGATTTTCCAGATCCGCAGCAGAATAATGAGTGGTTTTTGAACAACACCCCCACCGCCCTCTCCCACCATTTACCGTTCCTCCTTGAAAGAACAAAAAACACAGCTTTTCCTTTTTTTCCCCCTCCGCCTAATTCTCTTCCCACCATAGTCAATCGCCCAACCACACAACGAGGCCCGCCCAAATCCATCAACTATTTTAAAATAATGGAGGAGGACAACAACCACGAAAACCCTAACACCAACAACAACCAACCGGCACCCAGCAACTCCACATCCTCCCCTCCGCACCCTTCCTCCCCCTCCGCTTCCACCGGCGGCTCGAAGAAGGGCGGAGGCGGGGGGAAGTCCGGCGGGAAAGGAGGCCCCGACAACGGCAAGTTCCGGTACCGGGGCGTCCGGCAGCGCAGCTGGGGGAAGTGGGTCGCCGAGATCCGCGAGCCGAGGAAGCGGACCCGCAAGTGGCTGGGCACCTTCTCCACCGCCGAGGACGCCGCCCGAGCCTACGACCGCGCCGCCCTCGTCCTCTACGGCTCCCGCGCCCAGCTCAATCTCCAGCCCTCCTTACCCGCCGGCTCTTCCTCTACCGCCACTCCCACCGCCTCCTCTTCCTCCTCCTCCTCCCAAGCCGCTCGCAACTCCTCGGCTCAAACCCTCCGCCCCATCCTCCCCCGCCCCTCCTCCTCCTCCTCCTCCTTCGGCTTCGGTGGCTTCAACCCTTTCGCTGCCACGTCAGCATACCACCCCCAGCAACTCCTCCACAATGTCGCGGTGCCTGATACGACGCCGTCCTTACCGTTCCCTTTTTCGCATCACCAGCTCCATCACAACAACCATTTCCAGCAACTCCCCAACCATCCCATGATGGGTTCGACGACGACGACGTATGAGGATGTAGGACATCAACGGCAGCTGCATCAGCAGGGCGAGGGGCATTGTCTTTACGACGACATAGGTGTGCTGGCCGGGTCGGTTGGATCCGGGCTGTCGATTTCAAACAACGCGACGCAGCCGGTTCATGTTGCTGCGACTGGGCTGGGCCAGCAAGATCCGGGCTTGCATGTGGGGCCCGGGTCGCCGGGAGGGGTGTTCTGGCCGCAGATTTCGGGTGAGGAGTACCCGGCGCCGTCGATATGGGACTACGGAGACCATTCCTTGTTTGACTTTTGATGGATGGTGGCGATTAGGTGTCGGTTCTTTAAGGTGGTGTATATATTAGATTTAGCATGCGAGCAGTTTTTTTGAGACGAGATTATATTAATCGGTGCTGGTAAGTTTAGGTGAAGCGCTTTCGATCGACATTAACCCCACACAGGTAAGCTGTTTTCTTCTTCTTCTTCTTCTTCCCCTTCTCTCTGTAAGTTTAGATTTTGTGGTAGCAGACAGCCGTACTTTTCTCTCCATTCCAGTCCAGAAAAGCTATGCATCTGAAGGTGGAGATGATCAGATACGTTTTTTGCTTGATTAGGGTTCGTCTTATTTTTGGGGAATTAATTTGGGGCAGGGTATTAGTTAATGGGAAGATCGATGTAAGAAACAGATTTTACTGTGATTAGTTGTTAGGGTTTTTCTTTTTCGGGTCAAAGAAATTAGTTAGGATTTTTGTTTCTTCATTTGTAGTCTCCTTTTTTTTTTTTTTTTGTAATTTGGAAGCAATTAATATATGGCATCGAATTCCTGTCCTGGATATGAATTCACTGTCTCCTGCATTGGAACTGATGATTCTTAATTTGGTTGAGGATGCCTTTTGAGTTTTGACTTCCTTGTGCTATTTCTTAGATTTTTTTTTATAATATGTTTCCTTGTTAATAATTTTGGTTTCCTTCCGCTAATTGGTAATATTACCATTCTGAATGTTGAAATTCGGCCCTCGTGATGAATGGGTGATTAACATTTTTAGGGTATTTGGCGAAATGGAGGATTAGTTTCTTCGTTAGTCTCAGTTTTTCTTCTTCTTGAAAATGAACATGAACTGATAAGCGTAGGGAAATGGTATTACATGATTATATCTAACCTCGAGGGTTAGCTAGTGATAATGTGGGATGAAAATGTCACGCTCTAGGTTCGACTTTTAGGGCAATAGAGAAAATGATCTAAAGATATTTGTCGATCCTTGTATCAAAGAGAAGAAGGTATATGTTAATCCTTTTTTCTTTTTACTTCTCTCGTATTCTAGGTTTGAATATTAAGGTCAACAATAAAAAAAAAAAGAATATGATATCCATTTTTGACACCTCCTGTAACAGCTCAATTGAGATTAGATGGAAATGTCTCGTGTTCGAATCCTAAAGATACGTACTCAATATTAGCGTGGTCGATTTACTGTGCTTCAAGCTATTTGATTGATTCATTGTTCCTCCTTATTGAGCCTCCTCGTTTGAATCAAGTTCAGGTACATAATATAACATATGATATTCTTCGTCTCATATGTTGATCTCTGCAGTCTGCCTAGCTAGTAAGGATTGTACGTCTCGTTTTGGCTGTGTATCCTTTTTGTTGCTTAACTAGCTAGCTTCTTCTGACTGCATTGAGCCTCATTTTCCACACTGAGCCTGAAACTTTTGACTGATCAAAGCTTTTCCGAGCCTACGTACGATTGAACAGTCGAACTGGAAACAAAAGAAACATGGAAAGAAGATCACTTTGCTAAGTGACGAGAAGTCTCTTAACAGAAACTAGCTAGACTTCAAGATTCTGAACAAGTTTTGTTCATCCTATTGTGCAGTTTCATGCACAATGCACTGTCAAAAGCGTAATTCTACACAGAAGCATTTTGGTGATCTACAAATATAAAATCGCGATTTTAATTATATTAGTTAGGAATGATGTAATTATACCTAGAATTGTTTTGTTAAACTAAAAGTATAAAAGTGTAATAATTTGAACTTTAAAACGCGACTCTGACTATATTGCTCATGACTTTAAATATCGATCTCCCATGTCGATCCTTCATCTAGCACCACTTCCGATTCCGATCATCATCCCTAGCGTCCAGATGACGACTAATCCGACGGCTGCTATAAATTCCTACTGATCGTTTCCTTCTATGCCCAATTCTTATGAGGGCTAGATTTTATTCATAAAAAAAAGTGGTTTATTTGTCATTACGAAAGGGCCGCCGGAAGTGTCAGAATAACGCGTAAGGCCATAGAGATCCACGCAAATACAAAACATTATGACCTGATGAAGCACAAACAAACAAAAACAACAAAATGCGTAAGGCCATAGACATCGAGTTCCATACATATATATATATATATATATATGGAAAGAAATATTTAATCACGTGCGAATTAATAAGTGCTATGTAAGTCGAGTGTAATATGTTCACTAGTTTTTGTCTTTGGTTGGGTGAAATTTTCCCAGAGAAGTTGCTTCTCCCCTACGGAAGGTACTGATCGATAACATGTATGGGGAATTTTTGTTATTTTGTGTTGGCATTGCCGATTGCCGGCCCAATAAAGTTCCCTCGTCGGATGCATGTATTCCTCATTATAACTAAACTTTATTTAGTTTGTTCAAATGAGCTTAGCTAATTCGATAATTTGTTAAAGTAATTATATGGCTTAATTCGTTTTGAGATTATTAGTTGTATCAATATAGCAGCTAGACAGACAATTTAATCAGTAGATCACGAGCAACTTATTAGTTGGCTTTTCCATTACTCATACAGTGATTTGAGACTCATAGTACTTTAGTAAATTAAATATATGTCTCGTACATAATTTAGAACCTTGCTACAGTAACTTCCAATTCACCGTGAGTTGTAGAAAACAGTCAATCGTTTACGATAACAAGTCAATTAGGAGATGACAAAATTACATTGTTTCAACAAGGCTCCACCGTTACAAAGGAAAATAACGAATATATTCTCCAACTTTGGAATATTTAGACATATGGTTCAAACAGGGAGCAACGAAAACACAATTATCTTATTAAAGCAAAATACATCATTTCTTGAAACCGATCGGACCCCGAAATCAAAAGGAGTATGTCTCGTACCTCATCGCGCACCTGCCATCTTTGATGTCAATTCCGTAGGAGCGGGCGCAACATTTGTTTATCGCCGAGAGGACGTCGTGCAAACACTGGTAGCAAGTATAGTCGTCGAAGCTACAGTGAACCCTAGCGTAGAGACCCACCGTCTCGCCGTCAACATAAGCGATCACTCGGTCGCGGTTACCAATCTGTTCCGCATAGACATCAACCTCAAGATGAGTTTTGAAAGCATTCAGGCAGTTGTTCAAAGCGGTCTCTTTCTTTGGGTCGAAGCTGGTCAAGTTCCAACTGTACAGGAAATCATCTTCGAAGGCGCCGGCACCGATCATCATCACTAGCGACGAGACGACGATTAGTCCCGTGACAATTGACATTCTTCTTCTTCTTCTTCTTTCTTCTTCTTCTTTCTTCTTCTTCTACAAATAATTATGATGTGATAAGCTTACATATATATACTATGCGGGAAGCACATGTCAATTGTCATTTCCCAAGGGCCAGGAACGATCCAGACGAGAGCGTAAGGCCATAGAGATCGTGTAGGTACTGCAAGACAATATATAGCTGGAAAACAAACAGCAGTGGCCGGAAGAAGATAACCTACAAAATGGAACGGGATTATTTATTTGATCACGTGTTCAATACAAGGTTTAAACAGTTCAAAGTTGTTTATTAGTGTTTTTTCTTTGGTTAAGTGAGAGTTTCTAAGACTCTGCTTTTTGCTAGGGAATATATGATTATGTATATAGGGGACCGATCGATCGATTTTGTGATATTCTTAAATGGGGCGGCAATGCTAGCCGATTGCCGGCCGGCGCCACGGCCGGACGGCAATAAAATTCTTAAATTAGCTTATTCACACAAAATAGTAGATTATTCACGCAACCAATATTGTTTAGTCACGCAACTTGATATTTATCCACGCATATTGTTATTTATTCAAACCGTTGTAAAATCAAATTTTAAACTTTGAAATATATCAAATTGGATGTCATTGTGTAGATTATGATAATGCAATACATATTTAATACAACTCTGCTCCTCAAATTGATCTGGTGCCTTTTCAATAAAATTGAATCATGGTGTAAATTTTCTTTGTGCAGCAAATACCAATACCCAATAAGATGTTGGAATATACTAGTAGACAATCTTGTATCCAATCTAATACGTCCATCTTAATATCCAACTAATCCAATCTATATGGAAGCACATCCTCCAGTTGATCGGTGAATCCTAAAAACTTATAGCTATCTGTCCATGATCGAAAAATAGTTACAACGAAACTAAGCCAACTAACAAATCTAAATACAATAAGCTCTAACACAAAGTGTCGGGAGAAAATCGAAGATGTTGGAGACTCACTTGATAAAATTATCGCAATTGAGGGTCCAAACGCCAAACTTAGCATTGTTGACAATAATTTGAAACCTTCAACGATTCTAGATCCTAAACCGTTTTCCTAGAGCAATGGAACAACATACTAATTGAGTTGTTTTTATCAGAAAGACAGAAACTTAAAAGAGTATTATTTCATTTTACTCATCTTAGCAACAAGCCACCACATCAATCTATTCGATCAACACCCCAAAATGGGGAGGCCAGAGAAGTAACAAAAACAGAGACAGACACCATAGAAAAAGGTTTCTCATACGAAACCGTCGACAACCAAACCACCATCCTCTCAGCCTATAAAATCTATAATAACTCAAAATCTCATGAACACATTCCTCTCCTCTTCAGCACCTTTATTCGGGAACACTGTCCACAACTTATGGGGGGGAAAAAGATACAAAAAAGAGATCGCCTTCGCGCTGAATCGCCGCCGCCGATGATCCAATTCGGTCGATTCATCTCATCATAACAAACCCTAATAAACGTCGTACCTTAGTTGACACGCCGTGGCATTGAACCGAGCTCCCACCCGCCGCGGACAGGCGTCGAGGACTTTCTTCGCACCGTCCTTGAGACACTTGGCGCAAGTCGCCTTGGACACATTCTTCGTGCAGGCGCCTTTGCCGGACATAACCGGGGTGTCTATTTCTGGGAAATTGATGACCTTTGAGTAACCTTTGGTTTTGATGACCTCGTCGCCGAGCTCTTTCAGCACGTGCCTCACGTAACTGTCGGTCGGGTACACGGTCGTATAATTGGTCTTGTTGCACGTGACACCCGCCGCCGGGGTCACCTTAATCGACGGAGTTGGAGATTCCGCCGGAGACATGCTGTCGTCGTCGTCGTCGTCAGCGTTATTGACGTGGATTGAGCCGAAGACGATGATGAAGAATACTGCAGACATTTTTACCAAGCGACCCATCTCCTTCTCCTCTGTTTTCTGGCTTCCCCTGTTTTTTTTGGACTTGCTCTGTTTTTTGGACTTGCTCTGTTTTTCTTTTTCTTGTGATGGCTTGCTTGTGTTTCTCACCGACTTCGGGAGGCCTTTTATATATACCAAGTTGAGAAAGGAAAGATGTCATTTTTTGTAGTTTTGTGAAGGTGGGAGTGGGCTGGACAGTTGAGCTTACTGAAACGCAACGAAGAGCTCACAGTCACAGCTTGCAAAAGTGGAGGGCGAGGGGAACTAGAAGGTGTGGAAGAAGGATAGAACAGTGAGATTTCGTGGTGAACTGAGTTATGGGTTGTCAAGATTGGTGGATTTGGAAAACGACAGAGTGTAGAAGGTACAAAAAGTTTTGGATAAGACTTGCAAACTTGATGCTTACAGGATTTTCCACTCAGATACTATATGTAAGGTTGGAAGTTTGGTACCGGTATTTGGGATATACCGAATACTTTATTGAATTTGTCTATATTGGGTATTGTCGAATACACGTATTATTTCTTGGGATTGAGATTGAATTTCAATTGTTATTTGGTGTTAGGGATTACGAGATTGGAATCGGTATATACCGAAATAACGATCAATACCAAAATATAAGCTAGTGTGTATTTTCTCTTCTCAACTATACTCTCTCATTCACTACTACATGACACTCAACCACCAAGAGTATTATTTAATTATACATAGATCATTACATCACTATTAATAGTCGTCTATCAACTTCCAATTCGTCAAATTAAAGATTACCAATGACAATGATGAGCCCATTAATTTAATTACCACCCATCCATCACTATAGTAACTAGTGATCACCCATCCAATTATTTTTACCTGGGCAAAAGATGGAGAAAGGTGGGTACTTTGCCACCTCAATTCCACGTGGATGGCAATCCTTATTTGCTTCCCTCCAACTAAATTTATAGGTTAACACTTCACCACCCATCTTTTTCCATGTGTAAGAGTTGTTTAAATTGATGGATGGTAATAGTAAAACAACCCTCCACCTGTCTCATTTGCATGGAACAAAAGAGCAAGCCATCTTTGTTAAGTTGGGTGAATGGCAACCTTTACCCACAAATAAAAACCCCAACTTTACTGTGATTACACGTGTGTGTATAGGCTAAACTAGTCATAAGCCTAGTCCCTCTAATTAACCCCTCACTTGACAGCTTTACCCATTACATATATACACGTAGCAAGAGGTTGTATGTGTTCCATCAACCAATTATCTCACCAAATTGATTATGTTACTTTCCTTCTATGAATACCCATGGAGAAATGGAGCACGTACGCCATCACATGCATGCAAAGCAAAATATATGTAAATGCATGAGGTATTAACTCCATCAACCCATCTCATTATGTTCAATTTACTGGCTCATAGCTGTTAGTTGGACATTAAAAGTCTAAAACTTAATTTTCCCAAACCTCCAATCCTATCAACCATGGTTACATCGTACACCTTAGCCACCCATCACCTTTCATTGGTTCTACACGTACGGTGAATATAATGATGATACTGGTATGCACCCATCAAAGTGGTTTCTTCTTTAAACCTTTTCAATTAATAAAGGACACGCCACCCATGTCAGGAGCAGGAGGCACCTATAAATAGGACGCTCATTTATGTTTCCTCGGCAATCCATCTCAAATCCAGAGAACTCATTTCCTCTGAACGAGATCGGAAAAGGGGAATTCCCGACGAACTTCTTCTCGGCGAATTGGCAACTTCCAACCCCGAAATTTCTTTTGCTTTCCCCCTAGAGCCGGCTCAATATGCCGCTCCCGGTTATTTCCAAATACTGATTTGAGCTTTGGAGAAGGTCCCAGCCGATCACAACCGGCGGGTCCTTTTTTGCAGGTGTTCATCTCGAGAGCTGGAATTCAACGGCAACCTAAAGGTCAACGCTCTCCGGACTCTACAACGTCCGAGGTCGGCTATTTTAGCTTGGCATCAACAGACAAGAACTTGAGATGTCTCCCCTCCTCTTTTTTATCCTTAATAATTTCCTAATCCAAGACTCTTTGTTTAGTCCTTTTCCCCTAAATTAAACAATAAAATCTAATTTATATATTTAATTATTAATTGTAAAGGTAATTAATTTCGTATTCAATAATACCGATTGGGATACCGAAGTACCGATTGAGATACCGAAATATTTAGGGATTGGGATTAGGATATCGAAATTATTTAGGGATTGAGATTTGAATTGACTTTAGAGCGTAGTTCAATATTTGAAATTTCGGTTTTTGGTATTGATATACCGCTACCGTACCGATTTCCATCCCTAACTATATCGTTGAATGAGCAGCCACTGTCGGAAAAAATTATTTCAAGTTACCCAAAGCAAGACGACAGCTTGCAAATGGGAGCAAAATACGTAATCTGTTCAATGATCAATCACTAGGCTGGGAAAATGGTCAAAACAAGAAAGCAACGTTTTCGGGGCAATGAAAACAAAAAAGAGGATAGAGTTTGATTTTCTTATCAAGATTTTTAAGTTAAACTAGAATATGTAATTGTACATGCGCAAAGTCCATACGAACAAAAGCGCATTACGACTCAGCCTACCCTCAGCCCACAGTCCGGCAAGACAGACAAATAAGAGCTGGGCCAGATACCCAACCATTTTAATATAGGCTGTTCTGTTCATCTTGGGCCCATTGGTCCTTGGCCCACCTGTTGGCCTTCTCCATTTGTTAGCCCACAGCCACAGCCCAGCAAGACTAGGGTTTCACTTCTAGCGGTATATAAAGGCAGGGAACCCCTACTCTACCTTCTTCTCCGTCAGTCTCCTTCAAACAAGGGTTTGTTCCGGCGGAAGCAAAGCGAAGAAGAGAACCAGAGAGAAACCTAGCGTGCTTCATCACCATGAGAGCCAAGGTAAGCTTCCAGTCTCGAACGCAACCAACATTTCAAGGAGTACATGGTCTATTCTTCCTATTCGTTGCTGATTTAATCCTTTTTGTTTCTCTCTTTATTGGGTGGTGCTTTTTCCAGTGGAAGAAGAAGCGTATGAGGAGGTTGAAGAGGAAGCGCCGAAAGATGAGACAGAGATCCAAGTAGTCTGCTTCCTTTCAATAAACGAAGTGGGGCGTAGCGTATCGATCTAGGTGGATTTCTGCATTTCGTTTTTTTTCCCCTTTCCCTGTTTTGCGAGACTTGAAAAAACTCTGTTGCCAGTACCGAGTTTGATGTATGGATTTGAAATTTCAGTTGGATACAATTTTTGTTTCTCGTTCGAAATTAGTATGGGATTCTGCCGCTTGTTCTGCTTATCCAGTTGTATGATTTATTGCGTTGTCTGTTTGGAATTTGTTTTGGTATACCGATGTTCCATATGTTTGTCCTCTATCTGGATTCGTGGTAGATTACTCTGGGATTCGATTCCATTAATGGTTAAGTTGAGTTGTATTCTACGGCTGTTGAAATGTGAGCTTTTTTAAGGTAATTAGATGTTTTAGTAACTTGTTGCGGAAATGTGGCTTTAAGGTAATGAAACTTTGGCAATGCTCCAAGTTTACAGTGTCAGATTCTGTGTTTCCTGCTGTTTTAGTTGGTAGTATGAATGCTGTGTATTTCTTGGTTATAGCCGTGCTGACTAGTGATTACTATGTCACCCATTGTAGTAACTTAGAGGTCTGTTCTTCAGCAAGTTCTGCTGGCGTTCTATAGATTCCAATCCATGCTCATTCCTATTCTGTAGGATTTTGATAAGCTTCTTGCTAGTGCAGTTGTACTCCACTGTACCCTACAAACCAATAGTAACGTGTTTTGTATTTGGTTGTCCTGGTACATACGTCTTTCATCTCATCTTAGTTACATTTGGTTGAGCTGACTTGTTGCTGTTTTATGATTCTTGGCCATTGTTTCTGTGAGACTTGATTCTCTTTTCTGTTTTAGCTATGGCGGGTATGTGATTCTGCTTTGTTTAATGAGTTATATCTATTAATAGTTCCCCGTAATGTGATTGGGGAGTGTAGATGGAACCCTTTTGAAGTCTGCAAATTATCAGTCACCCATGAAACGAAATCTCGACTTTGCATTGGTGAAGCTTTTTATTAGCTATTGCTTTCTTTGTTAACTTGAATTGAGATATTTTGTCCAGGGTAGAAAGGTGGAGATTGGTGTTATAAAATTGGTTGGACGTTCTGTTCTTTGGAACTTTTTAAACTCCCCATGAATCAAATCAGTGGTTATACATTGTTGTAGGCGTAATCCGAATTGGGTTGTTGTATTTACTATTTAGGAACCTTTAGAATGGCTCAAGTTTCTTGTGATTTATTGTCTACTTTGCCTTTAGCGTCCTATATTTCACTTCAATTCTGTGTTCAGTAACACTCTACCATTGAATGATTGGTAAACTCTTTCTCATTTCAACTCCAATTTCAAAATAACCATAGAACTCAATGAATAGCCACCACAGTGAAGTTTTGGTGAGGCAAAATCCTCAGTCATCGTGAAAGGGGATAATATTTATCTTCAAACGAATTGGATGATTCTGGTTGACGAATTCTGCTTGTAATACGCCCTTGTCACTTCGTCGCTCTGGTCGATGGACGATTCTTTTCTATTGTCGGGCAAAGCGATGAGCAGATGCATCCTCTAGTTTGAGACGAGTAAGTGTGGGGACTCAATAGACTCCAATGACATGCAATAGACGAGCAAGTCGATGATCAAGTGTGGGGACTCAATAGACTCCAATGACATGCAATAGACGAGCAAGTCGATGATCGCGAACAAGGGGTTTTTTGAGTTCTTGGTTCTTCAGTTGATTGCATTTCTTGCGAGTTATGGGTTCTACGATTGATTTCATCTTTAGTCGGTTGATTACGATGTCGATTGAGGATATTAACAAATGTAGGGTTTCATAAGCTTTTTTTTTTGTTTCATCGATGACTAGGGGATGGGAGGACTACAATGATTTCAATGACGTACTTTAGGTACGGGTTTGTAGAGAACGGCAATCTTATTTTCTAAGCTTATCTGGGATTCGGAGAAAGAGTGACAAAGAAGACGAAGAACAACAAGGGGCAAATCAACTTTGAACACTCTGTACTTAAATCCCAAATATGTAAACATACATGTTATTTAGCTCAATTCATTTATATAAAATAACTGATTTTTAAGTGATGGGTTTAGACCTAAATAAATCTCCCAAAAGCCAAAAGCCAAAACCAAATCCTCAATCCGAACCACCTGTCGGATTTTCTAATGGTTGAGTATTGCTAATTTGCTATAACATCATTCCTATGCAAATCATTTGGTTGTTACCTTCGAGTGATCCATAGTAACTGGTTTTGAATGTGGCCTAGATGGATGGTATAAAACACCTTATCTGCTTGTATGGTAGGCGAGGTGACAATTTTGAATACAATCTATGCACTCCAAACTTAATTAATCCAATTGAATTGTTGGATTTTTAGATTGAATTCATGGATTGTTAGAAAATTAGAGCAATACCGCTTATTTTTTATATTTTACATTATGATACTTCAGTTTTAATGAAAAATGCCATTGGAACTATGTGTCCATACCTGAAATTTTTAATAATGACATTTTAATACCTAAGTTTTCATATTGGTCTAATATTCAGATGTAAATTTGATATGATATCCATGAATCCACTAACCCGTTTTCCACCTCTAGAATGCACAACTATAACGAGACTGAAAGAGACATATGACTAATATATTGCAAATTTTCAAAATAATTCACTATAACGAGACTGAAAGAGACATATGACTAATATATTGCAAATTTTCAAAATAATTCAGTTACATGAGACTGAAAACGGAGTAAATGTAAATCTGTCATCAAATATATTATGCTCAAAAGTTGTCGTTCCATATTCTCTTGCCGAAAAAACTCTATACATAAGCAAGATGGGATGTCAATGACGAGAATGGTTCATCCCAATAGAGAGGGAATGTGGCATTAAACGTTGGTACTAATTACTTTACATAACTTCTAGAAAACCGATATTCATTTTGAATGAGACATTGAAATTTAAGTTGTTATCATTTTTATTATATGTTCTTCCATCTTAGATAAGTTTACCATAAAAAGGTTAAATTAAATCTCGCCGCTAGTGTCACACTCGAGTGGGAAAAATTTAATGAAAATAAGCTATAAAAATAAAATTCGTGGTGAAAAAAATAAAAAGAATAGATAAAAGTCCAACCAAAAACCGATAAAACAATAAAGCTGTGCCATGCTGTTTCCGCTTTCTACAAACTCAGACCTTACACATCCTTAGGACCCACGGGCTTAGTATCAGGCCCAATAACAAGCCCACCATCATGCGCTCTTAATCTGTCCACATAACTCCTAACTTCCTCCGCTATCATCCTTTGCATGATCCCCAACAAACAACTCTCCCCCACCTCCGCCGTCTTCAACCACTTCCCCTCCTCCTCCACCTTCTTCACCCGCCGCCTCCCTCCGTCGTCCCCTCCCACCGCCGCCGCCGCCTCTTCCTCCTTCTCTCCCGCCGCATTAACTACCCCCTCCCCCGGCGGCGACAGCGTCAGCGAAGTCTCCGGTCCGCCCGTAATAATCTCCCCTCCACCGCCCTCACCCATCTTACCATTCTCATTACTTTTATCATCATTATCATTATTATTATCAATATTATAAATAATACCATTATTATTATTATTATTGACGTCATCGTGACGCAAGCAGATCTTCTTATTAACCCCGGACTCGCCCTCCGACTCGGCCAACGCGTCCTGCAGACACGGCCGCTTCATCACCGAGTTCGACTCGGACGCGGACGACGACGCGAGCTCCTCCCCCGTCCCCGCCACGCGCTTCCGGCGGAGCGTGGAGTTCCAGTGGTTCTTGATCGCGTTGTCGGTCCGCCCGGGGAGGAGGCGGGCGATGGTGGCCCACTTGTTCCCGTGGACGGCGTGGGCCCGGACGATGACGGCGTCCTCCGACGGAGTGAACGGCCGGTGCTGCACCTCCGGCGACAGCTGGTTGCACCACCGCAGCCGGCACGATTTCCCCGACCGGCCGGGGATCCCGGTGCTGATCATGGACCAGTTCCTTGGGCCGTGCTGCTGGACCAGCTTGACCAGGGTGGCGTCCTCCTGCGGGCTCCACGACCCCTTGACCCGGTCCAGCGACGACGACGAGGTGGCGGCGTTGCCGGTGAAGGAGGAGGCCATCGGCGGCGAAGGAGAAAATGGAGATGGTGGTGAATTTTTTTGGGGGAATAATAATGGGTTTGGGGAATTGCGTGCGTTAATATATATATTGATCGGAGGGAGGAGAATAACGGTTGAGGATGGAGAAAAGGGAGGGGAGGGTTTGTTGGCGTGAACCGTAAAACCGCTAGCTAGGGGAGGATGACATAACGACTTTGGCTCGGTTACATGCGCGTGTGCGGGGAAGTTATGGAATGAATTCTTTTATGTGTGTGTATATAACTGACTGAAACGGAAAGGATGGAGGAACAAGAAGAGATGGATTTATTCATTGCTGCAAACTAACTGCCTGCCAAGCAATAGCTTTACCAACCTAACCGCAAAATTTTCAACACATTTTAAAGATGAAGGCTCATTGGAATTAATTACAGCATTTGTATTGTTAATGGTAATTAAGATGTCATCCGAACATTATTATTATTAGATCGGTTAAGAATCACTTGATCAATTTGTAGTTAGCTTACGAGGAGCTATGTATAAATATTTTACCACTTTTTATGTGACAGACCTGAAAAGTGAAAGCGGTATTTACTGGATTGGGCTTTGATTATCTTTACAAACGTAGGCCCAAAAGGAGTCCATACTTTTCAAGACCGGCCACTATGAAACTCGAATCTGATGGTCCAATGTGTACAAGACTACAAGTGTACATTATTAGTTCTGGCCTCTGGGTCTGGGAGGTAATGCGAAGAAAATGAATTCGTATTAACGTGGGTAAGATATGCCAAAGAGGGAGCCACGTAGCTCGCTAGCGACAGCCATTAGCCACTCGCCCGTGTACAAAAACTGAAACAGTAATCGACTTTCTCTAGCGCATGCTTTTGATTTTGCTGACTCAGACCTCAATTCACGGCGGAAGAGGTTCCCAAAGAAGAGAGAAAAGAAGGAGAGACCCGTAATGTCAATTCAATCGGCGGCCTGAAAGAACCTCTGCCGCTTGCTCCTGATACGGTAGCTCGTCGGCACCGAAGCCGCCGCGATTCTGCTCAGTACGACGTTCAGCGAATGCTTTATCGCCATCACACACACTTTCCCTTGACTTCCCCCAATTCCTCCGCCGTTTTTGGACAGTATAAGGATGCTTTTGATTCTCCCTCCGACGCTTGTTATGTCGGCCCTCACAATCTCCAGCCTCTGCCCTCTCACGACACGTATCAGCTCCGACATCACCTCCGGCCTGTCCTCGCACGAAACGCTCACTCTTATCAGCACGCCGGCGCCGACATCCTGGCAAACGTCGACGGAGATCTCGTCCACTTCGGATGGAATGGTTAGGTTTCTCTCCACTGCTTCTTTCGCTTCCCTCTTCAGCTCTTTCACCTGTTCGATCGCGCTCCCCAGCAGCGCCGCCTTGTCCATCTGATTCAAAATTGAAAATCAAAGATCGGTTCTTTGGAGGACGAACATCAAAACCCATTAAGGGATTTGGGTTTGGGGAACCGAATTCAGGGGGAAATTGAAGGAAATTTACTTTGTCGGAATTAGGGATGAGTTTCCTGAGAACGCCAAGTTGTGTGTTGATTCTGTCTCTTCGGCGCTTCTCAGCTTGTTTATGGCTCCTTGAACTGGAAGCAGCTTTTTCTTCGATGGATTCTTGGCTGCCGACATCGCAGTAGTTTTCCGGCCATGCAAATGGGAAACATTCATCTCCCTGAAATGCGGCAGAGGCAGAGGCGGGAAAGTCTGCTTCCTGCAAAGGGGCTGAAAATGGCTGTTCAGGAACAGATTGCCAGCTGCTAGAGTACTGAAATTTCATCTCTGTTATTATTATGAACTTTCCTTTCTATCTCTCTCTCTCTCTGCCTCGCAAGTCTACTAAAGGGAAAAGGAGCAGAGTTTCCTGGTTGAATCAGAACAACTGACTCCCATACGCAACAAACAACTGTGTTATATGGGACTAACAGCAGCAGCAATAATATGTGACTATGAGTTGTTGTTATCTTCATAGGTTTGATGGTGATGGCTGGGAGGAGTTATCTTTTCAATTGGGTCAAATTTGAAATCATATTTCTGGCCATTTATGCCTGTCATTTCAAAGTCTAGAGGAAATTTCTTTCTCCTCATATTGACAGTGTGTGTTTTTGCTGTTTATTTCAGGAGACACACAAATCTATTTAGGGATCTTACAAGTATTTGTTAGATTGCTGTAATCTTTAGCATTAAGTACTACACTACTTGGTGCTTCTAGGAAACCTGTACAGTGAGGAGAATTCTGCCTACTGCTGTGGAGGGCGATTAACACATGCTAACGTTGTTGAATCATCTGTATGTGTGTTTCTAGTTGTTGAAAATAACGTTATTGCTGCGCCGATTCGTGGAATCGAGAACAATCCAACGAGATCAACAAAGAGTGGAGATCCCCAAATCAGCAGCCTGGCACAGTTGGTTCAACACCGCACACAAATTTTATCAGGTGTGTTTGAGTTTGAGAAGAAGCACAGCAGCATCCACCATAATAAGGAATCCAAAGAGGAAATCCGAAATATGAATTGGCACTAATACGTGTGAGAGAAAAGAGAATCTATGGAGCGTGCTTTAGCTTAATGATGATCATTGCAAATCTATCTATGCTTTGGTAAAGATAAAGGTTTAGTGTGATCCACTTAGAACCCCACAAGCAGCAGCTGAAGCTCATGGACCTAATGTGGAATTCTCTATAGGCTTTATATTGAAATAAATAAACCTAAAAGGTCACTTCTATTACTATAGATGTTTTTATCTTAATACGAGCACTCGAACTATATATTTATCAATCAGAAAAGGAATATCGAAAAATGATTTGACACTACCGTTTCGATGAGAACCTTAATTACGAAGAAATCAATATGCAGAACAACTTTCCTAGATCGTATGCAGAGTCGAGGACATGCTGCAGTTTTTCCGTCTTCCTTCCCCTCTAACAAAATCTAATCTTAGAATGAAACCGAAAGATGGATATATCTTTGAAAGCAAAAGCAGCCATTCATTATTTGGTTGGCTTTGTTTGTCCACATCCCATATGATATGGGTTTACTTAGAGAAAGGACTGTCCTGGTTTAGTGTCCTGTTCAACAGAGGAAGAAAAATGGCTTCACTGATGAGGCCAGAGAGGAGAGGGAACCCTACCAGCACACAAAGACAGTGGGGACTCTGATGAACCATACAAGATGGGGGTTTAAAGGCCTGATACGACGTTTGATCAATACCTTCGTTCACGTTCCCTCAAATCTATTGGTAGATTCTCTGTGTGGTGCCAAGAAGACCAGAGATTTTCCCATTCTATTTGGATTTTGGACAAAGGAATTTGAGAACTCATACTGAAAACGTGCCACCATGGAAATGAGTAACCATTGTTGAATACCAATTTTACAGAGAATACCCATATAGAATAGGATCAACCCAATTTAGCCTACTATGCTGATAGTTGTAGGTGTATATCTTGTGTGATCGTTCATTTGCGCATTAACGAATATCCATGTCGGATATGATTAACTCAATTCAGGATATCATGCTAATAGTAGTGGGTGTACATCTCACGTGAATTCGTTCATTTGCGCATCTTCACTCCTTAGATTAATAAGATTGTATTTTTGTACATAACCCATATGTATTGATTTAATGGTTGAAAACAACATGTACAAGTTATGGAACGACAAAATCAAACCGTGCATATGTGCCAATCAGCATTCTATCACAATTTGACGCAACCTACCACCAATAAGCCATCTATTTGAATGAAAAACATAATCCCGATCCATATCATAGTAACAAAAACTATTTCGGATTCAAATCTAATACTAAAGAACTTCATCCAGCCTTTTGGATAATCTTTTGAAAAATGTTTGATCCTAATTATGAGAACATGGTTTTCTCCTATTTTTCATGGCTGTAACTGGAATGGTCTGTCATACTCCTCATTTCTGAAAAGATTTGAGTTATCATCCGAATGATCAAAGATTGAACCATATAGGAGTTATTTTGCCACAATTCTAACCACTAAATTTCCAGAAATGTGGCAAACAATGGCTACCAGGTCAGCCAACTACCATACTCTAGCACAAAGCCACTGTCCTTTCCCCTGCTGCCACAAAAATGAAGAAACCTACCCTAACACACCACCAATCTCTACTTTCTGTAACATGCTCTCAATGCCAAATGAAGATCCAATAGAAGCAAAAAGCACAGAAGAAAGAAAGAACTACACATGGAAGCAAGGCAAGTATTGTTGTCCCATATATTACCCATCTTCATCAAGCAACTCTTTGTACATATACATAGCACACTGCACATCTGTATGTTTCTGTCTAAGAACACAAGAAGCTTGAAAGTTTCCAGATCATGTAAATTACTACAGCACCTGAAACTACAACTAAATAATTCAAAACTCGTTGAAGTGAATGGCACCAACTTTCCAGACGACGAAAGTGGTAGCAAACATGACAGTGCTGATGAACACAAACGAGAAGGCAATTACCAGCAGATCATTACCCCCCGGGAAGTCAAACGTCCACCCTGGATTCGGCATCCCTCTTTTAGCATCATCCAACATGTTCGTTGGTGCTTCAGGGAGTCTAGACCTCTTCTTGCCCTTATCACTCTCCCTCAAAGCATCAAGCACTTTCTTCCCCATGTCTGGGTTGGTTGTTTTCGATTCCGGGTACCGGCTGAGGACCCGGGCAGCCTTCAATCTCTCCCTGGCTGTTAGTGGTGATGATCTTTTGGGCCTTGGTTGTGGTACTGGTGCTGGCTTTGGAGGTTGAACTTCTTCAGAGGAGGAGGCTTTCAATTGCTCATTATTGGGGACTGGATCATTGAGTTGGCTGGTGTCCGTGGCAACTCGATCGCTATCTGCAACTGATGGAATCAAACGTTGTGGCTTCGAGGTGGAGCGAAATGGTGCGAGTGAGTGCGACAATGCGGGCAAAGACACGGCAGGGGATTGTGAGTAATGCTGTCGGTGCTTGGCTTGCAGCTTCAACAAGAACAACCCATTAAACAGCTTCAATCAAGAACACCAGAAAGGACCAAAAAGCACTGAAATCGCATTAAATTACACCGGCAAAAGGACTCCGAAGCAAACTGAAAGTTCTCCTAAATGTTTACGGGATACGAATTGATCAATTTCGACGGCTTACTAGAGGAATTGCCATGGCGAACTTTGATGGGTTAGTTTGGGAAGGAAAGTTGAGCAGGGGAAATAGGGTGAACAAGAAAGCAGAAGTAGGCAGTTCATGGAAGAAAATTTACCGTGGAGTTGAACCCAATGACTGAATTGAGGGAAACTGCCATGATTGGTTTGTCCGTACGGGCGGGATTCCGGTCAAGGCCCAACCATAGGCGGCGGCGGGCGACGGTCGGCGAAAGCACTGAGGGAGCGTTTTTGGTTTGGAAGGAAGGCTTTCCTCTGCTTCTGGGTTCCTGGATTTCTGTTTGTGGCGAGAGACTGGGTGACGTGTCATAACCAGATCAGGGAGACCGGAGATGGACTTATCTTTCTTCAACTCCCACTCACTATTCCCAGCGCGTCTCCGAACGGTCTCTCCTTTTTTTTTTTTTTTTGGTAATCTATCCGCATTTCTACTCAATTACCCGTTGGGCTCCGTCATTGGGCTAAGTTCGGTCCAGCACCAACTGTGGTACAAGAAGAGAGGAGGCCTGTCGAGCCAGGCCTCAGTTAATTTGTCAAATATGACAACTTTTCTCAACTCTCTGTTAATACCACATGGAAGTAGGGATGGCAATGGGTAGGGTCGGGTGCGGGTTTACCCTATACCAACTCCTAACCCGCCGGGTAGAGTCTTTTAAAATATCCGACCAAATAACCACCGGGTATGAAAATTATATAACCATACCCTACCCACCGGGTAACCACGGGTATTCGGGTAACCATGGGTACGAATCCTAAACTATGAACTTAATATATGCACATACATATTGTTGTCCATTAAAAATTCTCAATACTTTTAATTGTTCTAGCTTCAACAATCCACACAAATAGAAACAACAAAAACATAATAATTGTTCTTACTTCTACAATCCACACAAACATAATAATCGTCTACATCTTCATCATCAATAATGGTAACTAAACTCAATTTCTCAAACTAAACTAAATTTCTCAAGGGAAATTGACCCTTTGGTTAGCGGGGCGGGTATAACGGGGCGGGTATTATCGATTACCATACCCGTACCCTACCCTTTATTTTGAAACCGTGTATTACCCGTACCCGCCCCTTAACCCGTCAAAGCGGGTAATTACCCTCGTTGACCGGTTACGGTCGGGTAGGGTACCCATGGTTACGGGTTGGATTGACATCCCTACATGGAAGATCTGTACTTGTCAAAAATATATTGGGTAAATACAATTTAATAGCCAAACCTTTCATTTTAAACAAAATAATAGTCAAATCTTTTCGAAAACAATTTAATAGCCAAACTGTTAACTTTCCGTCCAGTCAATTGTTAGTTGACTCTAACGTGGCAAGTATTTGTACACGTCAGCTTATATTTTATTTTATTATTTTTATTTATTATTAGTTGTACAAATGATTGAATTATATTTAAATGGAAAAGAAAAAAGAATCCTTCATCCCCCAACCAACTCATCGTCTCCTTCACCTGCTGCCTCCCCCACTTCTTCACCATAGCGCCACAACTTCTTCTTCTTTCGTCTCCTCTCATCATACCGGCCTCATGTTTCTCCATCCCGCAACTAATTGTTGTTCATTCTCCTCCCACCAGTTCGTTCCCCTCTCTCTCCCTGGCAACCACCCATCGTCAATTTCAATTGGGCCTATTTGGACTTGACTTTATACGCTTATCGATTGTATATATTAGGGATTTGTTTGCACCTGTGAGGGGATGACGTTGTTCAACCTTCTTCTATGGTTTCCCTCAAATTCAAAACCCTAATTAGAAACACAGAGTGGTAGCAGAGTGACGGAATTGAATTTGGGTATCGAATTCTTCTTTTTTGGTTTTTTATGTCGATTGCAAATGACAAACGCAGAAGGGGGGAACACTAGCTCTTCCATTCTCGGAACAAAGCTTCTTGTGCATGGTGGTAGGTGAATTCATCTCGATTTCGCATCTAGGTAACCACCACTTCTTCTCCCGCCGCCGCAACTGCTTCCTGTTCATCTACATCGGCCTGGCAAGAATCCCGAGTCGCCACCGCCATCAGAGACTTCTCCGCCACTGTCGCCTTAGCCTGCTTCTCCTTTCCTATGATGGAACCCTTGGTTTTCTTCTTTTTTCGGATCGTCGAGCCAGATGAAGAGAGTAGAGGAGAGAGAACTAGGGCCAAGGCGGTGGTTCCGTTCCCAGTGGAGTCGCATTGGAGAAGACAAGGCGGTGGACGAAAGCTTTTTGGAATTTCTGTTTTTCTTTTTCTTTTTCGTTTAGTTATAATTAAATTATTTTTACAATTACAATAAATGATAAAAGTACAATATATAAGCTGACGTGTACGTGTATATGCCACGTCAGAGTCAACTAACAGTTGACTAGACGGAAAGTTAACGATTTGGTTATTAAATTGTTTTTGAAAAGGTTTGGCTATTATTTTGTTTTAAGTGAAAAGGTTTGGTTATTAAATTGTATTTACCCAAATATATTTCTTTTTTTTTTTGACAATGGATGTGCTTATATTGCAATCTGGAAACCACGGTTACAAGAGGCGGATTACATCAATGGAACAAAAGCAAAAAAGGACACTCCAATAAAAAGGCAGAACAATCAAAGACAAAAGCAAGGCTAGAGAACCAGCCACAAGAAAGAGCAGGCAAGATTGAACTACACCAATATCAGAGAGCCATCACCAGAGCCAAGGAAGTGAACCCAAGAACCTCACGCTTCCACAACCAACAGATCAGCAACAAAGCAGGGTTTCAACTCTCCCAAAACAGACAAGACCATGGCGCTTGAAAACACAACGCCATAAGCCGCCTCCTGGGGAAACGTTCGAAGACGATCCATCACAGTGAATCACAAGATTGCAATTACATGGCGGTGGGCAGGGCTGAAACCGGGATGCTCAGAGCTGAAAAAAGGTCGAGGATGCCGAAGGCAAGATGGACCGAGAAATGGAGAGACAAAGAACTCCAGCCTAGTCTCAACCGAAACCCAGAACAACTGCCAAAGACAAACGGAAATGACACCGAAACCCACAACAGCCGAGAAGAGACGAGGCTGAGATGCTCACCAACAGTCGACGGCAGGGGAAAACGGCGAATGAGTTCTTCCGAATAGAAGAAACCACCAACAAGGAGGAGCCACTCAAGCACCAGATCTTCAAAAGAGACTCTCCCAGCTGCAAAATCCGAAAACCAAGCAGAGCAAAGCAAGACCAGAGAGGAAAATCCTAGATCCGAGAAGAAGAGCAGCCGCTTTGAAATCTGAAACGCCACAACGGCAGAGAAACCCCAAACCAGAAGATCCGGGTGAAGAACGCTAAAGACAAAGGCATGAAAACACAAAAGCAAAGGAAAAAACAAAAAAGAGAGACTGAGCTGCCGCCGGTCACCAAAAGGAGCCGGCGGCAGCCATGGGAGACGTGAAAAAGGAGCCTGCTCCTAGAGAGAGGGGAGAGCGAATTTTGAAAAGGAAAGTTAGATGGGGCGCTTTCACTCAAATATATTTCTATAGCTACAACTTTGACGTTTGTGACAGGATTGATGTCGACAGTGGGTAGTGGCGGATTCGATGTCTGCGGTGGCGGTGAGAGTGGGCGGATGAGAGAAGGTGGGGCGGAGGGGAGAAGTTGGGGCGGAAGGGGAAGGGTTACGAAGTTGATTTTTTTTTTCTTATAATCAAATATTTGTAAGTAAATATGATGTGTAATCTACGTGTCACTTGATGTTGATTTTTTTATGATGTGTGCATTGATCTGGCGTCCTAATCAGCGTATTGCTAACATAACTGACGACGACACTAACGGCGTTAAAATTTGTATAAAAAAAGGACTTGTCCCAGACCAAGTGAAGGTTAAAGGAAGAAAAACGCAAGACTTCGTGGATTCTTCCTAATTTCTCCTTAACTTTTTGAAATTCAACCCTCTTTGCTCAAGAATCAATATTTACTCCATTGCAAATCTTGCTATACCATCACCCAAGGAACCAAAATCCATGAGAGAACGGATATCTAAACAGCATTAAAGCGTGTAGTCCTTAATATACCAAGATCAAAATACATGAGAAAGATCCGAACACATCATATATATATATATAGACAACACTGACACTTGGTTTAGAATGATCACAAAATCTTTTTGATGGTATCTTAGCCGCATGTCGTCCAGTCACACAATTAATATTTCATGCACATTAATTAAATTCCCCGACAATCAACCACTCAGACAAGACGTTTAAGGAAGAAATGGATTACTTTGCGATCGAGCAAGCCATGCACAATCCAATTATATTACGATCAGCAGCAAGGAATTTTATTTCATCTCGCTTCAAGAAACTAAGGACAGGGATACATACAACCCAACCCGGCCAGTATTATTCCATGTGAAGAGAAGAAACACTTATTTATAACATATATATATATATATATATATATAGTAAACACTTATTTATTATTATATATTATTGCTGCTGCTCACTTAGCTTGGTTTGGTTGCTTGGTGTGTGAATATAATGTTGATTGATATTGTTGATCATGAGAAGCGGTACGACTCGTACCTGGCCTCGCAGCGGTTATCTGCAACGTAGGCTCCAACCCTATTGGGACACTTTTGTTCCATGGTACGGCCGGCAGTCTTGACAAACTCCTGGGCTTGGGCATCTGTTGTGGCGTTAGAGCACATGACTCGAAGATAGGCATTCAAATTTCCTGGTATTGTCGGCTGCGGGCATACCACCAGCTTGCCGTTCCATCCCTCCAACTCCAAATACTCACCGGACGACAGATCCTCCGTGAATTGTTGTATGCAGGCTCCTGCGGCTGGGTGATAGTAGTAGTCCAACTCATTGTTGTTGCACCGGAACTTCACTTCATCGGCGGCGAGATGGCGATCGTCGTTATCAGTACGGCTTGCTGCTGTAGTCGCCAGAGTAGCGCTGATGATGATGATGAGGATAAAGAGCAGTCCTGATGACGATGCTAATGCTGCAGCAGCAGAAATCTTCTTGTTACCCATATCTCTCTCCCTAGCTACTTAACTTTTTTTTTTTCTTTTTCTGGAGGAACTTTGAATGAGGGAAAATGGTTGGAGGATGTACTTAATTAGCATCAAACATGTACATATATATAAGATCGAAGCACATCTAGGCTCCGTTTGCATGCTTCTGCAGTAAATTGTACAAACATGTGTGGAGCTTCCAAAGTAGGGCTTTTTCAGAAAAATTCCTTCTCGGTTTGATGAATTATCATTTTTTTTTTTTAGATTATGGTTAGTGAAATCGTATCCAAATTATATTGGAGAAGCTAATGGTATGATATTTAGTGTTATAATCCTGATTTAATTAAAATATATATATGATATCACTGATAGTACATATACGTGGGAATATGAACCAAAATTGGAAAAATTGGCCGATATATTATTTAGAATAGACAATGGATTGCGTTGTGGGTCGACTAGGGATGGGCAATGGTGTGGTTCGGACTGCACCGCACCGTTTTGATATAAACCGCACCGCACCACTTTCAATTGGACCGCACCGCAATGTTATAGGGACGGTCAAACCAAACCGCATATGTTAACGGTTTGGACCGCATCGCATGTTTGACCGCAATTCATTATGAATTAAATATTTATTTAATTAAATTTCTACTACCGCCGAGAGCATCAACACTCTCTTTCTCATACCACCTAAACAGAACACCCCTCTGCTGATGACTCCTGGCGGAAGGAATGAAACTGTAAATTGGCAAATGGAAATGGAAACAGAGGCAACCATGATAAGAAAACAGAGCAGAGCAGGAATGGAGAATAAGGTAACTTAATACAAAAAGGAAACACAACTACTTGACTGATTGATAAGTTATAATTCCCAAAAAGAATGCGAATAGAGATGAATGGCGGGAATGATTGATTCTTCTGGGAATCTCCTGACGAATCGGTAGCGGAAGCGCGACCATCTAGCAAGCTCGAAAGCGGAAGCTCGGCCATCTCTTGAAGGATCGGGATCGAAAGTGCGTCCAGCGGAATGGCAACCGTAGCAGATCCTGATAAGTAATATCCCTTTCTCTTGTCACTACGAACGATTCGAAAAAGCTTAGCAGATTGTGGTTTCGAACGGCTACCGTGCGGTTTGGAAGTGGCCGGCTGCGAAACCATTAACTGCTTAATGATCAGACCGCAACCTTATTGGTGCGGTTTGGATTGACCGAAAATGCGGTTTGGTGCGGTGCGGTCAAACCAATGCCCAGCCCTAGTGTCGACTGGCTAATAGTAGACGATTTTATAATTCAACAACCAATACGATACGATATCACGAACCATTCTGGTTGAACGAACGCGAGTAGGTTGTTAGGAGATTTACAAGTAGGGAGGTGAGTTGGCGTTGTGTTCAAAGACGGTACTTTTTATGAACCACAAGAGAATATTAGAATTTTTTATTCTTTTTATATTAAATAATAAGTAAATGAAAAGGAAGAAAAAAAAAAGATTATGGAAAGATAAAGTTGTATTTTCAAACTAATATTTGGAGTTTGTGCATTTATTATTATGCTATAAAAAGGTATGCCTAACTTCTTTAGAAGCTATATATATATTTAAGAAAAGGTCTTGCCTACTAATGTTTTTGAAGTAAAAAATCTCATAAAAGAATCTGGCCAAATACCTAACGTACGTATTGATTAATTAGATGGATGGACATCCTCTTGCTGCCCACCCTCCCACCCCGTGGGCAAATAGTCAACATACTAATGCTAACAACAATTAAGAGTTTCATGGTATGGTTTGTCCTATTTTTAATATTCAAGTGTTCTGTCATGCATTGAGTTATTTTGAATATTATACACATAAAAACAAACAAACAATCCAGAGGTCGATTTTAATTGGTAACTCACAAGATAAGTTAAAAATAAATCAAAGAAAAACAAATATCGGATATATGCATGAGCAGGGTTCATCTTGTCCAAACAACAAATAGATTAATTCATAGTACGACAGAAAATATGGATGTGTGGTAGCCCATGTCTGATTCGTCATCAACACTCTAAACTCACTCCTAAACCATTCTTCAAGCCTTTAGAATCCTGCTCCTTAGTGTATATTTTTTTTGGGTCTGAATATCATTTAAGTCAACTTCTATGATCTGAACCACACCTAAATATCATATCCAACTATAAAATTAGAAGAAGAAAACATTGATAACTTGCTAAAACAATAAAAGCTGAAGGCATTCAAAAGTAAGTAGAAATATGTACAAAATACGAGTTATCAGGCCACTCTTTTCGTTGCCAATCCTCCCTCCTGGTTGGCAAAGAATCAATGTTTTAATTAATTAGATGGATGCCCACTCTCGATCAAGATTGGGAAATAGTCAACGTATTAATTAATTAGATGGATTTGATGATGTATGCAACTAGGAAAAATAGGCATCTCGCCATTTAGGCAACAACGGGAAAAGTTTTTCGCTTTGGTGAAACTAACAATTACCATAGTAACAATTTAAGGGAAGTAATAAATTACTAGCTATTTGGTCGGGCCTTTGCGATGGTAATAAACTAATTATTTCATTTGGTAGTAAAATTTCATTCACTTATTTAATGATTTAGTTGAAATAAAATTACTCAAAAAATAATTGAGTAAAACTTTTTCGTATAATGTTTACGTAGTATCTTATTTATTAGGAAAGACTTACGTAACGGTTTAACACGTTTGTTTGATTAATACATAAAAAAAATTATCCCTTCAACCTTCATATGTATTTTAATAACTGCTATAGAATGGTGTTATATAATCTTCCGTAATGTATGGTCGTACAATAAATTCAAGTTACGGATAAATCTAATCTAACATAGTGCAAGTTGATGACATGTTAAAAATAGTAGGTAATATAAAGAAATTTTAGTTAATAGTTTACTTAAAAAAGTATCACATTTGATTAAACAGTTATGCTAAAAATTACTTACCAAGTTACCTCACACAATTGTTGTGTAATACAAACCGATGAGATCTTCATTTTAGTTAATAATTTAGGAATTTTCAGTTCAAACATATATCGTGAAAGACTTACGTAATATGTTTTTTAAATTGATACAGTGGTGGAGTCAGAATTTGAAAGTATTGGTGTCCTTTTTCCATAATATAAATAAATATTTAATTATTTAGTAAATAAAATTAAATTAATAATATCGAAATAATTTATCTTTAGATAATAAAGAAATATTAGAATTGAACTAATACAATTATTATTTCATAAACAATCACGACACGTTTTCATATTCTCAATGTATCCAACTAAGCAATCATTAGCAAATTAGTCACGATTGGACTTTGAAACTTATTCTTAATATAGCTCAAAGCTGAAAAATGCTCTTTCTACACTTACCGTTGCACCTGGTAGAGTCAAAACTAACTTCGAAAGACACAGAGATCAATTTTTAGGTATTGTGAATTTTGTTTATAGTGTGATACATTGATTTATGTTAGTTTTTAAACTTGAAATAACTTGTAGTGTAGTGGTAAAACAAGTTTATATCACCTAAAGAGATAAGTTCAATCCATGATTGATACAGATATGCATGGGGTATTTATATTATCCAAAAATTACCGGTGTCCCGGACACATCCCAGACCTCCTGGCTCCGCCTATGAATTGATGCATATCCCTCCATAAATTTTATGTATTGCCTTAGTCATTGTGTTGTACGTCTTATTTAATTGATACATAAGAAATAAGTATATCACTATAAGATTTACGTAATGTATTTATAGTTTACATGATTATTCAGAAATGATGTTACGTATTATGTGGTATGTTAGTTATGAAATGTATCACATTTGATTAAACTACAATGGAAAAGTTACCTTACCTCACAAAACTTTTGCATTAATGTAAAATTGTTGAGATGGTGAAAATGAAAAAACACAAAATTAGCTCCAGCTGAGCTTATAAGCTGACAGGGCAATCCACAGGTAAGGCTCCCCACAACGTCACTTTAAGAGCAAGCCACAATTAAATATTTAGCAGTAGGTGGTAAATGGATTGCATTCATGTAAATTTGGATTAATGTATTCATGAATTAAGTAGATTGGATCAAATGGATTGGTGAATTTATGAATTGGAATAAAGTGGATTGGTACGATATCACAAATAGTACTTATGGGTATTAGTTTAGATTAGGCATTATTATTGATGAGAATAAGATTAGGTGTGTGGTCAAAGAAAAGTGTATATAAATACAATGGGTAAACTGAAAGGTTGATCACTGGAAAGTGCTAAAACATTCACATTTGGTCACTAAAAGAATTTTATTACATTTATGGTCACTGAAAGTGGTTAATATTTCACGAATGGTCACTGTCTGTTAGTCTCCACTAACACCCTTAGTGGTTTGCCGATGTGGCAACCAAAAATGCCGATTCATCCAATTTTACCTGTCACGTCATCAAACACATAACCCGCCACGTCAATTTTACCCGCCATGTCAGATTCGCCCAACCCAACCCATGACCCGACCCTCCTTATTGACCCGCTTGACCTAAAACTCCATTGGCCCAAATGAAAACTCCAATCCTACCCACCCACCCTCCCTGGTCCTTTCTTCTCCCCGCCATCATCCTCTAATCCCCCGTCGTCGCGATTCAACAACTACAGCGCCAACCCCATCTCTGTCAGGCCTTCAAGAGCACCAGCCCGATGTGTATTCCGCTCAACGTCACCAAAGGGGGGACCTATACAGCCGTGAATGTTGAGTTTTACAGATCTAGAAACCCCGTGGACGGCGACCAAAAGGACAGGGAAGAAGGAGCTTCAATATTCCAATTACAAATCCCAGCCGAGAGGAGCATCCAACTTTGATCGTCGCATTCCAAACCGCCTCCTAAAAGGGTGAAGAAGTCAAACATGGTCTTTTCTTCTCGAGAAACGGCGGCGGCGGAGAGGCGAAGTAACATTACGATGCTTCTGGTGACCAGCTCTTCCTAGAAGCCCATCGCTTGCAAACCCCAAGTTTTAGGTTGATGGCATTATCAGTTGTAGAACATAATAGTGCCGTGAAGAGTAAACCAATGAATGATCTTGCACATATATGTACTGATACATGATGCCAGTAGAATTGATTTTGGAATTATTATTATATTACCCTTTGAACACAACTCCGATAACTTGTCACAAACCATCTTCTTTCCCCATTGTCTGCCTTTTCGTCATTAGAATCACACCTGAAATAAACTCGAAAAGAACAATTTTACGCAGTAATTTTACTCGGGCTCGGCTCCAATCGAATGATTAACCTAATGGTATGGGAAAAAGCAAGTTATGTGTAATTCAACTATCCAGGTATTTTCCTTTCTTTTCCTGTTTCTACAGTTCAACAAAGTATGTAAGACAAGCTATCCAACTCGAAGGGGGTTGCTTCATCAAATAGCTTGCAGAAGGGGAAAGGGAGATGAGGGACGAAATAGGATGCAAAATACAATAACTCAATCGCTTCAACTACAGTTAAGATCACCTACTCCTACTCCCTCCGTTATCTCCAACTGTGTTAAGAGTTAGTTTCAGAGTACAGGTCGAACAGCCGCTTTGAGATCTTCATAAAATCGTTGCTCTGAAAACTGGCCTGCCCTTCTCCTGGCGGCTCCAGCCATCTTGAGCCTCTCAGTTTCTGGCATCTCTATGACTTTAATTATGGCGTCTGCGTATTCTTCAACTGTCTCGGCCAGAAACCCTGTCTGCTCCCCTTCTTCTTCTAAAACAATGTCCATTTTCGGGCCAGCTGAGTTATGTGCTGAGAGGGCAAAATTTTAGGAGCAGGTTGAGTTTAATATGGTAGCTTGTTAACAGCAATAGACACAGAAAGGATTCAACTTTTGAACGAGAACAATTTTGACTTACCTATTGGTATAGCTCCTGCAGCCATGTATTCAACTACGCTAATGCCGAAGTGCTCATCTGTCATAGAATGCAACCCTGCAACTGCACCTCCCAGTAGTTGTATTAAGTCCCTGCAAATCTCCAGAAATATTGGCACAAATGTGAGCATGAACACCAAATTCAAGAGAAGATGGCTTTGCTCAAAACACTTGTTTAGTAAGGATATCATGTTGATCTACCTTAAAAAGATACAATCCATTTAAACCATCTACTCCTATTTCCAACATCCAATAGACCCTAAAATAATGATCCATCCAATAGACCTCTGTGTCAAGGTCCAGGAAACAGAATACACAACTCCACAAACATATATTATAATTAAAGTCAAATGAAAGTTGATTCCAAATGGGATCATGGAAAAATTAGCACTGACCTGTACATCACGTTCTTATGAAATTCCACATCCCCATCTACCTTCAGTTCAACAGCTTGATCCTTCAACTTCTGCAGTCTCTCCTCATCTGCTTTGTTTCTACAGCTACCAACAAACTGTAGCTTTGGTCTTGGCAGCATAGCATCCAACCTAGTAATGGCAAGTGCGAAGGCCTCTAGTTGCAGAGGATGCGCCTGATATATATCGAAAAAGCAAGCTCCTCAATGTCAAAGACGAACCCTAAAATCCGGCCCTAACAATGAGCCACTGAAATTACAAGTACCTTCAGCTCACAAATGTCACTCAAATATCCCCACCTTCTCTGGGCGGAACTGAGCAACAGAGATGAATACTGGAGTAGTTTCTGCTTGCCTTTCCAGTGGAAGCACCTAAGAAAGTAGTACCGGAATAAAGCTATAGTCCTAAACTGGAAGAGATAGCAAACTGATAATGGAGCGAGAACACAACAGTTGACTAATTTATAAACACTTAGCAAAGCGGAAACCTGTAGCCCAGAAGTATCACAAGGTGGGTAGACTCGCTTAATCCGATCAGGAATTCGCCACAGCTTCTCGATGTGAGACCGTGTCCAGGAAGAGTTCACCATGGCTAAATGTGCACAAGACCCTACAAACCCATACAACCAGCTGAAGAACGTGTAATAGACTAGCTTACACCGGGATAGCCAACCACTGCGTCAATATAACCGCGTTCAGAAAAGTTTCATCGTAAGGACTCCAACGAAAACAACAAAGAGAGCTTCGAATTTCTTTACCTGCGAGCGATGGAGGCGTCATTGTTGTACATGGAGCTCCGACGACGGACGCGAGAGATCATATCCAAGCTGATCGTGGGGTAATGGGTATAGCAGATGACTTTGCATCCGAATAATCGGGCAATCGGGTAAGTGAAAGCGTACCCGCTGGTGTCGAAGTAATAGAGAGGAGTGAAGCTCGATAGAGCTTCCCAGGATAGCAGAATCGAGCCCAAGCTCTGGCCGATCATGGTGAATCGAGGGTATGTGGATTCCTCGACCCATTTCCTCTTGTAGAGATGAACCGCCTTCGGCGGCCGGAGCAATTGGACGCCGAAGCGGTCGGTGGCGCGGGCGGCGAGGGATTGAGGGGAGGCGTCGTGATCGCCGGTGTAGACGATGCAATCGAGATCGGGGATTTCTTCCTGTATTGCTTTGACGGCACACCAGAGGACTCGTTCTCCCCCGCCGCCGTCGTTGGTGTATGGGTGGAAGAAACCGACCGCCCTCTTCCGGTGGCGGCGGGAGTTTAGGATATGGGAGGCGAGGATGGTGGAGATGGCGACGAGAAGAGATGTGAATAGAGAGACGGCGACGAGAATCCCGCTCGCCATTGTTGGGTTTACACTTTACAGTGAAAGATCAACTCTAGATTTTCTAAGTAGTCCCTTGGGCTCGTTTGCGTTTCGTTCAGTTCTGCTTGCCGTTTAACACTTCTCTTCAATACGTTTTCCGCAATACACGTTTTCGTTTTGCTAGGGGCTGGGTTGAAAGTTGGAGCTCAACCTCAAATCAACAGTTCGGTTCCGGTTATTTCCGCAAAACAGGAATGGGTGAGTGGCTGTGTCAAAATTAGATGTTGAAGGAGGAATTTGATAGTCTTATCATTTCATCATTTTTATTTTTTTTGAAAACTACACATATTATCTATTTGTAAATCAAAATCAACGTGGGGCGATAATTACCTCTAAACTATGTGCGATTTTCTCAATAAGTAAACGTTAAGTAAATTCGAGAGATTGCAACATTGTCGACCTCTATCACACCAACGAGACACATGCATCCATTAAAGAGTTTAGAGGGGATGACTCCCGTTATCAGAGAAGCATTAATAGCTTTAACGTTGATGAACAATAATATCATATTTGCTTACAATTTTCCGTCACTAGAAAACACCATAACATTACCTTTTGATAGTAGCTGAACCGAAATTTGAAGGGGCAGTATTCTCGACAATATACTCTTGAAAGCCACAACGCCCAAATGAGTAGGAGAACACAGGAACTAAACCAAAAATCGATTACAAATGGGACCGTCCTTGTAATTGGGAGTAGAATCACTCCGAATACTTGTATACCGAGGAACATCCTAAACAATCATGGAAAAGAAAAAAAGACAGCATAGCAAAATGAAGATAATACAGGTCCCAGAAGATTGTCTAGTAGAATTCTCACACCAGCAGGAGAGAAGAAAAAATTTGCCCTTACCCTAAGAACAAAAAATATTACAACACTTACCCACACAAATTCGTGATATTTGAAAGGAGTATTTTTTAGAATACACTGCTGAGTCCTGAAAGCCACAAGGTCCAAATGATAAGAAGAAGAAGTGAAGACCAACAGCAATGTCAAAAATGGCAAATTATGGATCTAAATCAAAGTCATTACAAATTGGACTGTCTTTGTACTTGGGAGTGGAAACACTCCGAAAATTCGTATACGGAGGAACATCCTAAACAATCATGGAAAAGGGGGGGAAAAAAGCAACATAGCAAAATGAACGCAAACAAGTCCCAGAAGATTGTCTACTTGTATTCTCCCACCAGCAGGAGGAGAAGAAAAATTTTGCCCTTTCCCTAAGAACAAAGAATATTACAACACTTATCCACACAAAATAAAACCAAAACTAAAAATGAACCCTCACTGAAAAGAGTGGCAAATTATTATTCCAATTTCACCTTCACAACTTTACCGCGTATTCCCAACCACAATGCAAACATCAAAATCCCCACCACCAACCCCTACATATGAAGGCGCCAACAAAGCCAAATGACAACCACCGAAATAGCAACTCCCGACTGCCTCCCTCTTCAAATGGTTCTGTTCTGCAAACAGCAAAGATAACTCGGAGCTAATTTCTACAAAAAGCGCGGCCCCAGTCAAAAAATCAATAGTTCCCCATCGGAGGCATTCCGAACTGCGACATTGGAGGCATTCCCATCCCGCCCATCTGAGGTGGCACGAAACCGCCGGGCATCCCTGGCCCACCCATACCAGGCATTGGAGGTGCAGGCAATGCAAGGGGAAGCAACTGGGCGTACATGTTCTGCGATGGTAAATCAACCAGTTAGAGAACTCGAATCATTTGAGCTTCAGAAGACAATCTCCGGAAGTTACTGGGTAACTTAAACTCTCTGCAAGTTGAGATTTACCTGTTGAGCAATCACATCCTTCTCTTCCTGTTCCTTGGCCTTAACTTCCTTCTGAGCCTCAAGTTTGTCTTTCACAAGCTCGTCAACTTTGCCCGTGTATTCACGAATGAACTGCAAGGAAGAAGCTAACGTAAATACGGTGAACCCTGATCAATATTATACAGTAGTCATGTCGATTTCCTAGCCACTGCAAATACCAACCCAACCACTAAACGCCTGCCTAATCCAATTCCAGCATACTGCTGGTTGGCTATGATATCTGTCTGATTAATATTCAGTTGGCCGATGGATTACTGAGAAACTTTAGCACATAACGTTTGTTTAGTCTTGCATCCTCCGGATCTCAAGTTTCAGACAAAACAATCCAGAAATTAATTTGAACTTCTATACTAAACCATGAACCAGTCAATCCATTTGTCACAGGTAGGTCTCACAGAGATCAAAGAAATTGAAGGAAAGAAACCGAGACCACCATACCTGTAACAGGTATGGGAAGGCAAAGTCGATCATGTTATTCATCCAGGCAAGTTCAAGAGCAACATCTGGCCGAACCAAGTCGTAGCAGACAAAGAGACATGAGGCAAAGCATTCCTTCTTTCCCTGTCAGTGAATCACGATATACAAGGTTCAATGGTAGGCAACGAACAGACCAAACAGTTTGATAGAGAATTATTAATTTATCAAGAATGAAACAACAACCATATGAATGAAATGTCACCTTTTCGATGAAATAAACAAGCAATTCCTCAGCAAGTTCACGATCACCAGATTGTGAAGCAGTCTCCATGGCATCTTTATATAGGTTATCCTTCTTTGACAATGCAATCGACTGCTTCCATCTGCCAGCCTTCTTGTAGATATATGCGGCAACTCGCCTCATTTCAAGGAGCTCGTGCTTCTCAATCTGATATAGTGCACAACAAGGAGTCCGGTTAGAAATTCATAACTCACAACAACAAAAAGGGGGACAGAGTATAAGGCAAAGCATCTCTCACCTTCTGAGCAAGGCCAATCTGATCGAAGTTGTCGTGCAAATCGATTGATTCTCTTAATCTATCATAGTCCTCTTCCTCCACATATATCTGATTCAAAGCCTCATTAACAGCAGACACATTGTTGCTCTGAACAGCAACCATATATGGCTTCACAAGAAGCAAGTGCCCAGCCTGAAAACACAAAGAAAAGTGACTTCAGCATACAACCAAGGAACCAGGAAATAAACTAACATTTAATCAAATGCAATACGAGCAAAGACAAGTTAACAACCTTGCGCATGATGTCAACTACACGAGTATGGTCAACACGGAGAGCCAATACATTTAGCATATCATTGATAAGATCAGGATGTTCTTGCAAGTAAAAATGCACCGCCTTGTAATATAGCTCCACATTGGCAACCTTGACCACAATATCCTTGAACTGCATGTGGTCCCACGCCTCAGGAGAATGATTCATTACAGTTGCAGCAGCATTATCGAACTCGTCATATTGGATGTAAAGATAGGTGAGTTCCTTCCAATGCTGCTGTTCATCACATGCTCTGATGAGTTTAGGAATATTGAGACGGGTTGAGAACAACTTAATATGCTCCATAAGTTTCTCATAGCGGTATCTGGCATAAAGAACTCCCAACTCAGTGAAGATGCCCATATGTGCTCGTTCCAATCCAAGACCACTCTCCATCAGAGATATTAATTCATTGAAGTATCCTCTGTTCTGATAATACTCACTAACCTCTTCCAGATCATCCACCTGAGCGTAAACACGTGATGGGGAAAAATAAGAACCATTTTAAACAAGAACCAAACATGCAGTGAAAAGTGGAAGGTAAAGACAAACTATACATACTTGCACAATGATATTCAAACCACACATTTGGGCCAAGCGGAACTCTTCAGCATCAACACAAGCAAAGCACACTTCCTTCCATGTTTTCGCACTGTTGGCCTTCCGTGCTGCATCCACAGCACCTTGGAACTGTTTGAGCTTCACAAGGGTGCAAGCCAACTTTGCCCAGTTTGATATGAAGGCAAATATTATTTTTGCGGCCTCGTACAGAGCATCATCAAATAGACGATCACCAACAAGTTGGAGATTAGCCACATTTGGCATAAGAATGAATTCCTCTATTTCGCTTAACCTATCAATCTTCGCATATGCAAAAATGAGCTCGCTGTCCACCTTAGGCTCTTTGGCTTTTTGCCTAACCATCAAAAGGTACTTCACCAGATCATGATAAACATCTGCCTCCTCAGCTGCACGAATGACCTCATGAAATTGAGTGGCATCATCTGCACGGATAAATGATTCAATTGCATCAGAAACCAACCCCTCCCTGAGTTGAGCCTTGGCAACTTGGCTCCATACAGCATCTTCTTCAACACGGAATGCAAACTCGACAGCCCGGTCAATGCTCCTGATGTTATCCAATAGAACATTCACAGCCTGAACATTCAAATTGAACTTCTTGAAAATTGCATACGCTTCTTCATAAAGCTGGGCTTCAACTGCCACTTCCCCAACAGCAGGACCGTCGAAGTTATCCAATCTGTTGATGTAGTCCATAACCCTGGAGGGATCTGCCTTAATTGCTGTCAAGATGAGCAGGTTTTGAAGATTGAAGTTGCCACTGAATGCTGAATTTTGAAGAACAATCTTTTCAAGAAGCTCAATCAACTCGTGCGGAAGGTCAGCAGTCATGAACGCCTTAACAGCAGCAGAAACCTGTTCTGGGCTCTTGCTTTCAGGTAAGGCTGTAGAAACAACTTGGTCAATGAGCTGCCGTCTGTACTCGTTTTCGGGATTAAGAACCTTCTCCCAAAGATCAGAATCCATCCTTTCAACAACATACCTGTAGTCAAAATAAAGAAACGTCACGGATTTTAGAAGTGCCTACAAACCAGAAACAGGTTATTGAAAGTGCCTACATATCATCCAGAAACAACAAACCTGGCTTGTAATTTAAACAAGGAGTTCTTATTTGTGACATTGATAAGTTCATCATCACACTGCCCTCTTCGGTAAGCCACAACAGCCAGGGTGGGATCACGTTTCTCACAATACTTACCAACGACCTTGGAGTCGTAGTAAGGGTTGGTTGTGAGGAAGTGCTCTGGATTGTTGTTGCTATCAATGATGATCTTACCCAGTGCATTGTGGACATGCACATCTTGGCTTCCCTCACTTACAAGGTGCTCCAAGAACTGAGTAAGCAAACGAAGCCGATTTCTGCATAAACAAGCAAAATATCAGGATCAGAAAGTAAAAAGACAACACAAAGCCAGAATACCGCAGTTTGATACAAACCTCTTTTCACATTCATCGACAAGGGGCTCCACTGGCAGCAGAGAACGAACAGAAAGAATAAGGCCCTTGATGAAATCTTCAGGGCATTCATCATCCAACAACTGCCCAACAACCAATGGCGCATTTCCTGGGTTCACCTACAAAGAGATGGGAAACAAACACCTTAGTTTTTCAGATAATATTTAACCCAACAACCAAATGAACGCAGTCCAACAAGACAAGCATCAAACCAACGTGAGAATTATACCTTCTGCACATAGCCTTCAATATACCGGAGCATGTTGTTTGTGTAAAGATAATGAGTGAGATCCCCAACAAAACCAAAGCGGTCACAAACATTAATCAATGGCCTCGCATCAGGAAGCTTGGCCTCCATAAGAAAATTCTTAGTCTTTTCAGCATCATAGAAATTTGATTCTCTAGTGACACGCTCAACCTCCTTTATTTGTCCAGTTTTAGCTGCAGCTTCAATGTACTTGAAATGTATTTCAGGATCCTCACTGCTCAACAAAATCAGATAAGTATTTAGAGTAAAACCCTTGGATATACAAGTGGCAAACTGGGGAAACAAATAGAGACCAAGTAAATACCTTGAACTCAAAAATGACCCAAGGAAGAAGTACAATCCTTCATAAGATTTAAATTGTTCGAACAATTTGATGCACTGATCAATACCCAGCTGCTCACAGTACTCCTTTGCAGCCTGCACGGACACACACAAATCTTAACACTAAAATGCACAGGACAAGTTTCTGCGTAGAGAAACAGGACAAGGTAGTAAGATTACCTGCACAATTATCTGAAGGTTTCCTCTCAAATTAACAAGCAATAGATCCTTCATGCACTCAAGGGCCCACTCTCGAGAGAGGGTACCGAAGAATTCTACAAGTGCCTGCACGATTCACACAGTGGCATATCAGCAACTGTAATATTCCATCACGCTAGTCAGAACACAAGCACTGAAGTAATGTACCTGTGGCTCTATTGCATGTGTATTCACAATAACACGTTTGATATCTGGCAACTCAGAATAATGCTGCACAGTGAATTAAGATTTATGTCAATAATTTACGACTACCAAATGTAAAAACAAAAGAATCATGGACATTATATCTCACTTGCAAAGCTCGAATGTAAAGCCCAGCTTTTTCACAAAGTTGTGCGATGCGAGGGCGATCATAGTGGCTGAACATTCCATTCGCCAATATAGCATCAGCAACATTAGGAAATGTTACCAGATTAATTTCCAGGACCTACAAACACAAAAAAAAAAAAAAAAAAAAGCACAAACACGGCATAAGAGATGGGACATCTACCCAGAACATCTTCAACTAGAAATAATAAATCAGACTGTAACCTTTGTTTGCAAGAAAGCATGTTCAGGCAAGTTTGGCTTCAGAACATCCAACAGGAAGGCTGTAGCCTCACGAATCAGGTTCCTCTATACAAGATGATAAACCAAGCTCACAGGTGTCAGCACAATAATAAATCCAGGAACCCCATGTAACCGAAAAAGGTTCCCCAAATTACACTTTTATCAACTGTTAAAAGTATTTACTATCAAGAATAAAGCCGGAAACTGTACAGAATGGAAGATGAATGTTTGAGTAGTAATAAACTAAACCTGCAAGAAGAGATCAGTGATAGTGTTGTAGTCGACTGGACAACCACCCTCCATTTGAGACATCATCAAAGCGAAGTTAACAGCTCCCTGCAGATTGAAATAAAATAGAACCTCTGCTAAGATACTGAGAACTAGGAAAATCCGCACTGTCATTCTATCAGCAACAAGAACTTTCACCATACTAACTGATTAAGCTCCAAATTCTATAAGTATAATGATTTAACCATCCAGTTTGCAGGTTGTACCTGAGGATCAGTGCGGAGAATTGTTTGCAGAAGGAACAAATAGTCTGGAGTGTACCCAACCTGTAATAAATAAATTGTCAGGCACACGATCTTGTATATTATATATATATATATATATATATATATATATATATATATATATATATATATATATATATATATATAACGCTTCCACATTTATGAACTCCAGCAAACTGGAGAATATGAGGATACCTGTTTTGAGTAAATCAGGATTTTATCGAACTCCCTCCTCTCAGCAAATGCAGCGACAACTTTTGGGGTTGCTCTGGCTTTAATGTATATCTTCAGTGCAAGATCATTATCCACAGTCTATTGGCAGCAAAGCAAACTATCAGTCACTGCACAAAATACAGTAGAAGGAAAATATAAATGATCGTCCAGAAATTGACATACCTTAACAAGGTCTCCAAGCTCCTCGCTGCATTCCAACTTGTCCTCCGCCAACCAATTCTCCAAAAGGTTCTTTTTGTTCTGATTTACAACAAGGCGTGACAATTCCAAGGATTCAAATGCATTTAGCTTTCCTCTTGTCAGAAGAGTGCCAAAATACTGTAAAAGTGGGGGCGTCTGACCAGCTTGAACAGGAACACTCTGAAACCAGATAAATAACAATAAACAAAAATACTCAGTCTCTGCTCATGAAACAAAAATATGTAATAGAACCAGCAAGTAAAATCATAACATAGACCTGAAACTTTGCAACTGTATCTGGTGTTCGAAGAATTCCCTGTGGGGACTCCGCAGCAAGCTCTGCAGCTTCCTTATATTTTGTTTGAGCAAAGAGTTCTTGGAAACGCTGCACAACCTGGAATTCCATACATTGAAAGTGGTAAGCTTTGGGGAAAATGGAAGGACAACATCAACACCAAAAGAAAAAATACAGAACACTACTACTTACCAGGTTCTCTGCACCAGGAAGGTTTCCTCTTTTGGCAAGGTTAACAGCAAGCTCTAAATTATTCAACTGCAACAGCATTGAGAATGAAATTTTAAACAAACAGCTCAATTCACTTTCAGAGCTAACACAAAGAACTGGAATTTAGACTTACTTGTCCACTGACAAATGGTACAATTGTTGCTTCATTTACAGTAGCAAGCAACACTTGACCTCGTCTATTGATGGCATAAAAGCCACCCACGGTAGACGCCTCAGATGTCAAAAAAATTGGATCTGGACTGATCCGATTACGGTATACAGCAGCAGCTGTTTCCAGGTCATAAACAAACAGCAACCCCAGCTTGGTGATGACATAGATCAAGTTGTACTTGTGGGATATCTGTAAATCGCAAGTTCAGAATTCCCATCACCAGAAGTTACATGGATAACAAGTCAAATTAGGTTTTGGGGAGAGAGGCAATCCTACCTGCATCGCCACAGGAAAGTCATCAGCAAAATCTGGAGGAAAGAAAAGATCTGCCTGCTTCTTGGAAAACGATGGTTTCCCTGCACACCGAAAGTTAATAAGAACAGTGAGTGCTAGCTTAATCCATGAAGTTCAATAACCAATGTCCGGGGGAAGTCAAGCAAAACTGGTGAAATAGACTCCAGAAATAACCTGGTTGAGCACCAAGTTCAATGACATGCAACTTTGAGGTAATCTGCCCAGCATTGAAGGTTTTTGTGGCAAAAGAAATGAGGGTAGAAGGATTCTCATTTCCAGGTACCTGTAAAACATTAGAAGAGATATGCAGGCAACCAGTAGGATGACGGATTAGCCTTTGGAATAACACGAAGAACGATGAACTATCTTTCAATCAGGAGAAATTTTCACCTTAAATTGAGCAAATGCAGCTGCATGTGCTTCAAGAGCTTGGCTACGCTGTTGCTCAACAGAGAAAAGCTGCATATTCCCTTTCACTAGTTGTTGCCTCTGTAAGAAAATGCCAACAGTATCAGAAATGCAGTTCAGAAGTAACAAAAACTTAAGATGTACAGAAGTGGACAAATCAAAACAAAAGGCATGTCTCTTCTTCACAAGCATGCAGATTTCAAGAGATGTTGGTTGAACAAGTCATGAAGGATAGCTTTAGTACAGATAGTACAAAATAAAAATCAAATACCTCAGGTGACCCTGGAGCAATTCCTATCAACACCAACCACTTCTCGGAAGGGTCACATCGATAGTTAATTATCTGATTGCTAGCCAAATTAGCGGTCCTCTCAAACATCTTAACAGGTTCCGAATCACCTGATGTTGAAAGAAGTTGGATATACATCAGCAATCTCTAATTCGCTACAATTTGCCGGATGTTGAACACCACAATTAAGTTCCAGAAAACAATAAGGGAATAAAATGAGAATCATACCTTCAATAGACCAATGATAGCAGGACGATTGTGTCACAAGCCCCAACATTTTCGGTGTTATCCACTTCCAGAAGACAATCTACACATAAAACAAGCCGGACATCATATGAACTAAATCCAGGTGGAAAGAAAAATGTGAGGACAATAACAAACAGTATAAACAAGCCAAGAAGGTCATTTACCTGCTCAGGCATCTGGTATGATTTCATTTTTGTCTTCATCTCAATGTTAAATATCTGCAAGTGATCCTGAGTGGTGCCGGGAAGTTGGGCTTCAAAGGAACAGAATATTGTCACAAGCAGCTCATATACACCGATCAAACATATAATATACGAAAACTATAACAGATTCCTCATTCTACTCAAATGAAAACTATAGCAGATTCTCCACTCTGCTCAATCCTCATCCTAGTTATGGAACCCAGGAGCATGATACACTCACTTGCAACAACTACTAGGTCAGGATTCAGGTTGCTATTTAAAGAGTCGTTTTAACTCTGGAATTTCTAATTCATCTGGGTGACAAAGGTCAAGTCTCTACCATGTAATCTTAATTTGTTCAGTGGAGTAACACTAGCACTTTATGATCAAGCAACAATATAAGAAATGAAATACAGCTCCGGATCCCCACCTTTAAGAGCGAGAATCCTAGAGTTAGGATTCATAAGGGCAGAGTCTGCTGTGATTGGCCGCCTCAATGGCTGATTTGGCATATTCATATCGACAATAACAACACTATTCTGTGGGGCAGTTTCTCGCACGCATATATACTTGTCGGACTCCATGGTCACGTTCGTAAAGGTGATGAACTGCGGACTAATCCCAATGCTTGGAAGCTGCAAAAGAAACACCAGATCACGACTCAATCTCATGTCCGAGCAACCTCAGAGCTCCCAAAATCAGCAATACTTTGCATATTATAGAGCCAGGAAAACAAATCAGCAGATCTAAACAGGTTAAGACACGCATCCGATCTGCATCGCCTACGAGGATCACTAATCGCGGTGATGAGATACACATCGTAAGCAATCACGCGCAATTCAGGTTCGCTATCGTCTAAGATAGGAAATTCAGCTACAAATTGGAGCTTTTGAAGCTTCGAATCGAGGGAGCCAGTGAAGGAAAAGTTGGCTAAGGCAGGCTACTTACAGTCAGCACTTCCTTCATGGTAATCGGCGCGTTAGCGGCCGCCATGGTGCCGGATTGGATCGACTGCTCCGAAGCGGCGGGCAACCAGATCTACGAATGCCGTCAAACCGTCCGTCGACGGGGAAGAGTCAACAGAGAACGAAACGAGGGATTCGAATCGCTGCGAGATCTAGGGCAGCGACAGACCCCACTGGTCTTGAATCAATCAGAAGGAGAGCGGAAAAATAAGGGAAAGAAGATCTACAGAGCAAGAACGGGAAGAGAAAGGGAGAGTGAGAAGAAGGGTCTCAAACGCAAACCCAACGAAGAAATACCACCGAGAGGAGGAAGCAGAGATCTCATCTTAACTGTTAAGAAAAAAGAAAATTATTGTAAATATTTTTTAATTATATATATAATAAATCTATTTTAAATTAATTTAGAATCTCACGAACAACTGAAGGGTGAAGAGGGACGTGTAAAAATGTGCCTCTGCGAATTTTATTTTTATGAGTGGGAGCCTGGGAGGAGTGGAGATTGGACTGACTTCCCATATTTCTTTTCTCACCGGACGCGTAACGGGATTTTATTTTATTTTCTCTTGTACAGTAATTAAACAAGTATAAATCGATTTAGCCAGATGTATATTTGTGCATCTCGGCACCTATATTCATATTTTATAGTATTTTTAATCATTTATCATTATTCAAATCTTAAGAATTAAGAAAGTAATTCCAAGTCTACACAATAAATAAAAGCCAAATGAGAAAACTTGAAGCCCCATTTCAAATTTCCTGCATCCAGAGTGAAAGTAGGAAGGGCATTTTGGTCTTCACAATTACTTTTTTTTATTCATTAAAAACACACTTACTAGGATTCGAACCATGGCCACTTTCAAAGAAAAGCAAAAATCATAACCAATCACACTAAGTACGTTTGTTATATCTTTTTAAATTGAAAATATATAATCGTAGTGAGGAAAAAACTCTTCCCCTATTTCAAATTCCCTGCTCCAGGAGCGTTTGCAGGAAGGGTAGAATAGGGAGTGTCAATTTTTTCCTTTTTTCTCTGTGGAACGGGCCAACTTACCGTACACAAGCGGATTTAAACGGGTCCGAGAGTGTCAATTTTGTTCTTTAAGTCCTTTTATTTCTCCGTGGTGGTAAAATATATATGAAAAGGCAAAAACAATACTCCTTTTTATTGCTAAAAAGAAAAAAATTTAACAATAAACTAATGCATGAATTCTAATGGGCTAACCGCTAATCATAAATAAAAGAGTTGAATAGGTCTGACCTACACGGGATTTGCCAATCAAGTAATACAAATAAACATCATGGGTTTGCCATTCTAAAACAAGCTATTTTCTCTAGCATAATATATATTATGCTATTATTTTATATCTTAGTGGCTAAAATATAATGTATTTTAAAGTTATTATATGAACCTCGACCAACCCAATTAGTTCAATTTGTATCATTTCAAATATATATTATGTAATTATTTGATATCATAATGATTAAATTATAGTGTATATTATAGGGAATCGTTTGATATTTGTTAGTAAAAAACTAAACAGAAAGATTTATTTGGTTATTTTTAACATTAATTTCATTAAAACGATTCTAAACATTTCCAGTTTCCTTTAGAAATTCTATAGCTTTATTCCTGAATCAGTGATGTGCAAATGGCGAATTGCAGTCATCTCTTTTCTTTCATTATTTTTTATTTTCAAATATAAAGTTTAAAAGTAAAGAATAATTAGAGGTTGGCATGGGTCGGTCAAACATGCTGAATTTCAAGTTTTGGCCTGTTTTGATCAAGTCTAATTTATAATCACATGGTTCCCTGATACCCGATAAAAATCTCAATACAAACCAGTTTGGCAGGTGAGTCCGTGTTTACCACCATTTTCTAGGGATACAGGAACGGTGGTTCCTATCCTAAATCGTGTTGTTCATTCTTGATTTCTTTAGATTTTATCATGGCTTGGCAAAAAACCAGAAAGCACAATGATGACAAGATGAAAGTTTTATAAAACAAATTAATCGGCCAACGAGCCGAGTAAAAGCTAGCAACGATTGTGAGATGCTCATTTCCCGAAAACCGGCGGGATAGGCGATTTTTTATTCGATTTTCTGGAATTCGGTTTCTATAAAACTTACTCCACCTCATCATATTACCAGAAACAATATTGTTTCACAAGGTAACAGGTACTTGATTTTGGTTCATAAGGTTGTTTTTTGATTCGTTGCATCATTCATGTCTCTTTCCTACTAAAATTCACTATTTTTATCACGTGTTTCCCAAAAAAAAAATATACAACAATAAGCTATACACTCCATTACATTATCAAATTTCATACCTCATCTTCCTCCGGCCAAATGGCCGGGGCCCACGCTAGTTAAAAAAGAAACCGTGAACTAAAAACGAAGCCAGAAATCAAGGTTGTCAACCTGCGGGCTGACACGGACTCGATCGAGCTAATGGGTCAAAGGTTAATGGGTCACCCGTTTTAGCCCGAAAATATGGAAAGAGTTATTATATAATTATCTTGATAAATTATATTAAATCTCATCTAACATATAATATTACACCAAATAACATGTCGTACTTAGATCCAACATATAGTGAAAATTCACACACACTTACATAACATCACTATTCAAATGTTCAACTTATGATTACAAAGATTGAGTTAGGCGAAAAGAAAAATGGGAGCATTTCGCAAACCAAAGAAAAAATTGATACAATTTGACCTTCAACCCGATACATTGTAGCGGTCGACCCGACAAGTGCGTGCAGTCCATTTTCCTCACCGGATCAGGGTCAAAGTGGGTCAACCCGCGGATCGACAACGAAAAGAAAGCAATTCTAAACTACTACAAGTCTACAACCCCAATGTCCACTATGGCGCAACTCAAATAACTGGGCCGAAGATAACCAAATGCATTTGACAGCAGCAGACTAGAACTAGAACACAGGCCCAACTTTACTTGTCGGCCACATGACCTTCAACAATTCAGCCCATAGCGGAAATATGTGTTAGACTATCCACAATGTTGGAAGGAAAAAAAAGAAAAAAAATGGAAAAAGTGGGAAAAAATGATGTGAGAAGGATAATAGCCACAATAGGTGGTAAGGAAAAAAGGGTATTGAGGAGAGGTTTTTTTTTTCAAAATCAATTTAGAGTTGATATGGTAACTTTATTTTGATAATTTATTCATTATTTTTATATATGTAGTATTAATTAATTAAGACGAACATTTCGATATAATTTTTTTTTAATTTAGACATAAAAAATTTATTACTAAAATCCAATAACTCATAAAAATCCAATACGAAAACCATAAAACAATTTTTAAAAACAGAAAACAAAAAAAAACCACCCACATGGTCCCCCCTTCCCTTCCTCCTCTCACCCACCTGGACCCACTTCCCCCTCCTTCTTTTAACATCTAGCGCAGGATAAACCAGGGACGGAGCTAGCGTGTAAGGAGGGGGGGCCATGGCCCCCCTAAAATATAAAAGTCTGACTTTGCACCAACAATGGATAATACAAGCTGTGGTCTAGCGGTTGTAACATGTAATTTTAAAGGAGAGGTCATAGGTTCGATGGTTGCTATTTGCACCTTTTAATTTTGTGAAATTTTGATTCCTAACCTCAAATTTTGCATGGTTTATGATTTGGTACCTAATTTTTCATTTTGGCACATTTTTCGTCCATTGTCTTACAATTTGGTACCTAAAATTTGCATGAATCATTCATGAAATTTTGCTTCTAAATCCCAAGTTATGCATGTGTGATTTGATAATAAATATTTTCATTTTAGTACACCTTTTGTCCCAAATTTCGCATACCTTACGATTTGGTACCTAAGTTTTCCATTTTAGTAGTGTTTTTGACTTTTTGCCTATTGTCTTACTTTGTATCGGACTTTCTCATCCCCAACCTTTCTATACAATGCTCTTCTACTAGTTAAAAATAGACTTCTATGTGTCAATATTTTGGTAATTTGTGTTGAACGATAAATAACATAATAAACTTTACTTCAAAAATTTTATCGGCCCCCCCTAACCTAAATTCCTGGCTCCGTCCCTGGGATAAACCCTCCCCTTCTTTCCCTTTTATCCTTTTTTTCCATAATACCCACCCCTATTGTGAGCCATTTTCTCCTTTTTTCCCCTTTTATCCTCTTTTTCCCTTCTTGCTGTGGACAGTCTTAGTAGTGGAGGGTGCATAAGCTGTAGGTCCAATCAAACAATGGGATCAAACAGTTTTTTTTTTTTTTTTTTTTATGGACAAGTTCAAGCAGTTGCAATTGCTCGTCTCGCTTGTAGACCCACTATTTATTTGAGTCTTTATTAATTGTACATTATTCGGGAGTTGACTTCGCTTTAAGAGAATGGAATTTATGCAACTTATAATTGGTCTCCATATCGCGTCCCCAGTTTACTAGCTTATTACCCGGCCCGTTGGCCGGATTACTGTATGTTACCCACTTGTGGAATGGGAGAGAAAGCAAGTGAGAGTGAAGGGATTGAGATTCCACTTGATTAGGACCGACCCACTAATCCGATTCTTCCCGCCCCAACATAAAGGGTCAGAAAGAGTCAATAAGAAAATACGAACGGAGAGGATTAGTCATATATCTTGACTCTTCAAAAGTGGGTCAAACAGGATCAAGGTTGGGTGAAGGCAATTTTTAGCGCTAAACAGAGTTCTGGGTTGAATAACTTTACTTAGGCCTAGAAATTGGTGCTGATGGACTGCAGTTTTTATTATACCATCATCAATCATCATTGAATTAGTCCTGGGCATCCCTCCCCGTTGTCAGTCTGAATTCTAATGATGGCTTCATTCCTTGCACCAGCCATATCAGCGAGTTGTCATCTCGAGCATGATTTGCCTATGTACAAATGATACAATTAGAGTATGAAACTGAATTCAAAGAAAATGAAAAGAGAATTCTATCACATGCCAATAAATACACACATAATAGTTGAAGCTAAGTGAAAGTCATTACTCGCACATCAATTCTCAAAAATTACAGACTAAACAATGGCTAGAATGGCCCTGAAACTACCAAGAATCATGGACAAAACAACTTGTCAAATTAAATAATCCTTATACTGAAACTACCTTCTAACTTGAAATAAGACTTGATCACAGTTCATAGCACTCTTATCACTATGAATTGGTTGCAGCTCGTCCTTATCACTGCCTCCCAAGCTCAATTCAAACAGAATAGAGACCATTATGTAAGATAACCATATCCCTACTGATCATAATTCCTTTCTTCACTCCATTTTTGTCGGAGAAAAGAGTTATCCCCCTCTCCTGCATTTCCCTTTCCCCCTCTCTTCTCCCTCTTCTTCACAAACCGATCCCTAAACCAGCAACAACAACACAAAAATAGCCTTCTCCTCTGCCATCTCCATCTACTGAAC